GCAGTCCATTGATGTTTTTTGAAGTGCAAATGGCTTCTCCTTGCTCCCCATGGAGAGTCTTTGCTTTGTTATTGTGAATTGCTACGTCACCCAACAATTCCTCAGGCACCTTAGAGACTGGACATTCTGGAACTTTCAAGGGCTTTAACCCTTATAAATCAAATGCACATTAGGGGGCTTTTGTTCTTGTTTTTACAAGTTTAGACCCACTTGTCACTTGTCCTGTTAAATAATTTACTGAGGACTAGCTCCAAATTCCTTTCCGGGTGGGGGTTACCAGACTGACCAGAAAATAGCCCCCAGCACTCTTTGAACAGCAAGCTTTTATTACTCGTGTGGTCACAGCCAGTTTTGTTGCTTTGTCGTCAGCAGCAAGGTCTGGCAAACTAATTACAGCTCCAAAAACCTGATCGAGTACTGCCATCAATATCCCTGTGTTCAACACTCAATACCAGACTCTACATTAGCAGTCCAGAGCATGGTGCACTTAAGAATTGTTGTCCTTTTCTCTCGTTTCAGGGAAACCTTGTTGATTTTCTGAAGCTAACAGGCTGGCGAGGCTCCAAGGTGCTCTATTTTGGGGACCATCTTTACAGCGACTTGGCTGTGAGTCATCCTTATATTTGTCTTTGTTTGTGCCATGTCAGCAAGAGAGCATGGTGCTCAACATCCTGTGACGCAGTGAAAGTGTATTTCCCTTTATTATCATTGTGTCTGCGCTGATTTCATGGAACATCTTGCCACATTTATAGATGCTCCAAAGATTTCTTTCATTTGGTTCCTTTTAGGCTCAGGGCGCACTTACCCAGCGTTCTCCAATAAACTGTCCTAGAATGTTCTCTCTCATTCACAGTAGTTTGTTTGGTATTAGGTCTTATACTGGAGCACTATAAAGCCAGCTGCCAGCATTAGAAGTTGCCGTTTGCTGGAGAATGTTGGGTCAATGTACTCTGGAGTTTACTATAGCAATAAGCCTTTAGACCCTGTGCATTAGAGTAATTTTACCACAACTTTATCACACAAGGGGGTGTACAGCATAAGACCCCTTAACTGTTAAAATCTTTGCATCAAAAAAAATATTAATACAGAATTCAATTGATGTGTGCAATATATATATATATATATATATATATATATATATATATATATCTTATAATAAATACATTTTCAACCATACTTTAGAACCATGAAGCTGACAGTATACAAGAAACGACAAAATAATCGAACTACATGCCGAACAATTAACTGTACTTGGAAAGAGCTTGGTGAACATCTCAGCGCTGCTAGAAGCCCACTCTGTGCAAACATAGTCACAAAGAGGTCTTAAAACAAAAACAACACAACACCAAAAACAACACAGCACCAATCACAAGCAGGGGGGGAGGACGCAAAACAAACAACGTGGTGATTAGCACCAGTCATTGGCAGGGGGAAGTTTCAAAACAAACAACACGGTGATTAAGAGTTCTGTATAGAGTGTGAACTCAAACCACGTCGTTCAAGCCAAAAAGACATTTTGCATCAAAATATCATTTCCATTTGAAGTGTACTGCTGGGTTAACTATTCATTTTATAAGGACTTTTAGACTGGTATTTTTAATGAACTTGTAGTAAACTGTAATTCTAACAGTAACTGATATGTTTGTATAGGATTTGATGCTGCGTCATGGCTGGAGGACAGGTGCCATTGTCCCTGAGCTAGAGGTAGAGACGAAGGTGGTGAACACAGAGCAGTACGCTCAGAGTCTTACCTGGCTGCAGGCTCTCACTGGCCTTCTGGAGCGCATGCAGGTACATGCTGCACCAAGTCAAACATAAAATTCTCAATTTCACTGAAATAGTTATGACTCATAACTCAGACGTGTTATTAGTCACTAGTGATTTTACTGTTAATGTTCTGTTAATGAAATCTGCTGCCTTTTCGTTTGTGAGGTTTAATCAGCAGTGCTGGTCGAATGGCAGCTTGAAATAAATTCAGTGTGCTCTTGTGCCGTTACAGAGATGGGACATACAGTCCTGGCTGAACTCCATACGCTTTATATTGATCTCAATTGGCAATTCTGTGTTCTGACACAACAGCTATTTAAAGCCTCTTTTGTTTTAGACATGCCATTGCAATGATGAGGTCCCTCCCACATGTCCATAATTTCACTGCTATCAGTTCTGTGATTATATAGTGAATAATGTCTTCGTATTCCTGTCTCAGATGTATCGAGATGCTGAGTCCAAAAAAGTGCTTCAGGACTGGCTGAAAGAGAGAGAAGAGCTTCGGTGAGTAGACTAACATATACGCAAAAGAAGGAAAACTTGCTGCGCGATTATCAAAGTCAGTCCACAATGCGGGACAAAGTTCACTAAGTGAGGAAGAAGCCAGATGGCATGCGATTCAGATGGAGAAATGAACAGACTGTGAATCATAGTATGATGAATTTTCTTAACATTACAGCTGCTCTTTTTAAAAAAATAATGATAATTCTATCTGTTTCAAATTTCTTGACAGTTCTTTAAGAAGGATAAACCCAGCTCTTGACTAAATGGCTGTAAATATTGGCTAAATAAATGGTTTCCAAATGGCACCTCAGTCATAAATAATGATCCAGTTTTAGTTTAGACCAGAGACATTTTAAGGATTACAGGATTTGATTGGTTATTCATTTATGTATTTTGATTGGGATAGTTTTTAAAGCAACCGTTCATGTTAGCTGTTTCTTTTTGAATTTTTTCAAGTTAAAGAAACCATTTGTTCACTTTTACATTCCTGTATTGCTCTGTTGCTTTAAAAAACAAACAAAAAAATATATATATATAGTATAGATGGTGTTGGATTGATGTCTCACTTGCCACTGCTGCCAAATTGTAGAGCCACCTGTTTGTACACAGTTATTAAAGCATCATCTCAGATAAAATATATCCATGGTGTGGTGCGTGGTTCATGGTTGTAGAAACAACAGCAACAAAAAACAAAATAGTGTAAGCTCTTCTATCAATCCCAGCTGAGCCAGCAGAGCTGAGCCAGCAGAGGAGAATAAACAGGAAATGCTTTCAGCCATCTCCCCCTACAAATGTCTGCTGTCATCATTTTGTCACAGCTAGACGGTCAGGTGAAGGATGAATTGTGTAGTTTTGCCCTTGATGATTTTCGAGTGTTATGAATTTTCATGGTGGATAATTAACATTAATTGATGATTGGCTTAGAAAAGTATGACTGAATTGCAGAACTGTCAAGATTTGCTTTAGCTAGACATTGCATGCAGTGGAAAGAACGCCAGACCGTTAGTGGGGCTTATGTTAGCTTAAGCTAAGATTTAGCCGACACTGATTAATTCCATCAAACATAGGTACGTAGCTATTACTCAGTTTTGCGATTAAGATGACATTTGATGGTGGGATTGATGTTAAAAAGGACATAATATCGCTGACCATTCGACAGGACAAATAGTTCTATGATTCTAGTAATTTGTAGGTCTTATGAGGTTAATCTCATAGATAATTCTAATTATCTGTAATTGTAGATGTCTCAATATGTTATCATGGGCAAGAATGCATAATTGGGACTCGAACATAACTTACCCATTCTGAACAGCTCAACACCTCCGATCAAACTGACACACTCTTTCTTGATATCTTTTATTTGGAAGTCATCCAGAACAGACATTATGCTGACGGAATGACAGCTGCGGGGCACTTTTTCTGGGTTTTGCGAATACTGTCTATAATAAAAACACAATTTCTGTTGTTGATTCAGTACTTTCTCCCTTGTATTTTCACTTAATAAAGTTTTTTTGTGTGAGAAAACAGTATAGCCATTAATGACCTCCCCCTTTATTTTCACTTTCCACAGAGCTGTCACCAAGAATCTGTTCAACCCCCAGTTTGGAAGCATCTTTCGTACGTGCCACAACCCCACTTACTTCTCTCGCCGCCTTTGCCGGTTCTCTGACCTTTACATGGCCTCTATCAGCTGCCTGCTGAACTATGACCTCTCGTACACTTTCTATCCGCGCCGGACGCCCCTGCAGCACGAGGCCCCGCTCTGGATGGATCAGCTCTGCACCGGCTGCATGAAGACGCCTTTCCTGGAGGAGATGGCCCACATTCGCTAAACCCGACTGCTTCAGTCGCTGTTGCATACCGCACAAATTTGAACTGAGCTAAAGACATTATAAATCTCACAGACGTTCTGAGAGCGTCTCATGAAATCAGGGTCGTGTCATGGATGTGTGCAGGAAACAAAACAAAAATACTCACACAAATGATTTCTGCCTACCACCCTGCATTTTAGGCTGACCTGTAGTTAGTGGTGAAGTGCTCATTTAGTTAGGCAAGGTGACGGGGCTTTTGCAATCCAAGATAGTGTGCTGGACTTATAACTGCACCACCTTTTGGAACTTCTGTTACATTGCATCCTTAGTGTTTACAAGCCTTTCACAGGGTGGATGGTTAAGTTGGTTGAAGGAACTGAAACCTGCAGTTGAAGAAAGCTGCAAGTGTTTTGCTCTCGATACAGTTGCATTGTTCTTTAACCTGGAACGCTATGTACAATGGTAGCATTTGGTAATGACTGTTTAACTGTTTTACTTCTTTTATAATTGGAACGTACCAGTTGTAATAAACGTGTCTGTTACCAGAGCATGATGAACATTACTGAGGGCAAAGTTAAGTGAAGAGGAGTGGACTGAGATAGTGTTAACAGAGTGGAAGTAATTCTATAATCTCTTTTACAGTATATGAAGAAGTACGTTATGGTGATAGATTTTTTGTTCTCGCCAAAAGGAGCAAAACGTTTGCTGAATGTGGCCCTGAAAAGTCTGAACATGCATCTTTTTTGCATTTTGGTAATATTTGCAAGGCCTTAGTATTGGTTTGTGAAACTAAAATAAATGAAAAAAACAAAACGTCGTGTTGTGTTTTTTGTTTCGCAGTGGTCTGTTCAGAATAGTTAAACTAGCGAATATAATACGCGGTGTGCGTTGTTATTTAACATTAGCTCATATGCAGTTGTCTCTGGAAATGTAGCATATAATACAGATTTTTTTTTAACCTGAAAAAAATATACAGACATAACGGACACGATCTGTACACACCCATCTGAATGAACTAGTGCTGTTCCAACAGGCTCCTTCCACAGCCCCGCGGTAGCTCGCCGTGATCGTATAGTGGTTAGTACTCTGCGTTGTGGCCGCAGCAACCCCGGTTCGAATCCGGGTCACGGCAGATCCTCTCCGCGGTGGAGAATCTTTTAATACTATTGAAAACTGTGCCTTTTCAGTAATACCGTGACATTATTTTCTGCAATGTTTATACAAACAAAGCTGCTATATTCTGTGCGTTGTTTACCCAGATTCTGGAGGTATGTCACTACAGAGATGGGTGTAACTCAGTGGCGCACCAAAGTAAACTTTTGATCTATTTGTACTTTTCTGAAATGGTCATTCTACCACTTTTAATACTTGTAATTTTCTATTTAAGTGAGAAAAGTACCAATTTTCTCCCATCACCTTTTTCATAATTGAGTTGCTTTTCTGTGTTTAAATTCCTCCTGTTCTGTTAGCGGCCGCATCTGTACTGCTTTGCTTTGACTTCAGGTGTATTGTTTATTTTAGACAAGAGAGTATATCAAAAAGAGAAGTATATTTCCTCACAAACCAAAGTTTCTACTTTGGTAGATGCTGGGTGTGCTTAAGAAGTGGACACAGCAGGGATGTTATTTTTACAGCATGTTTGATTTCACTTTTTTTTATAAATCAGATGTTGTTTAATTTATTATCGATTATCAATTACCACTTATATAATAATAGTTAAATAATAGCTTAAGACTACACTAAGAAAATGTCAAGTAATGTCATCTCAGAATTATGTGCTTACACGAATAAATGACTGTCTCCTGTCTCTCTGAGCACCCTTCCAATGAACCTAATGGAAATTCATCACAAAAAAATCATCTTTATTTTATTATTTTCAACTTGCAGCTCGAATGACGTAATGGACATATGATGTCATGTCCTGCCATGGCCCGTGTTGACGCCAGGCGCTTTCATGAAGGCAAATAAAGACCAAACATACAGAAATGCAACGTTCATGGGATTTTTTAAAATACAGGTCTCAACAATAATATTTTTTGGCGTTCTTATAATACATACTGTATAAATATTTATATACTTGACGGTTTCGTGTCATTTAGAAAAACATTTTTTTTCTAATGCCAATACAAAATGTGAAGATATTCAAAACCGTTTTCTTGCATAAGCTTTTATTTTGAAATCTACTAACAGCAATCTGGTCGTTAGGCTTCGTTCTTTGGCGTTTTTTTCTGTCAAAGCTGCAGAGAAGAGAGGAGTCGTGTTCAGTCAAAACTGCTGTTTGGCCACGTTTCCACTTCATTTTTGTGGATGAAGGCAAAGGATTCCTGAGCGAGGTCTTCACAGTGGACTACCCACCATGTCGGCCGAGGAGGAGAGGGGGGTAGTTCGTGTCAAAGTCAAGGTGAGATATTGTGGGGGAGCAGCAGCAGCAGCAGCGGTGCGGTGGGGAGCCCGGAGCCGAGACACGAACAATAACAGAGCGGCGGCTAACAGCTAACATTCACTAACACAGTAACAGTGCAGAGCTGAGACATAAACTATATAGTTGTCACCTGTCCGCAAATACTGAGACACATTCCCAACTTGTGTCCGCATAGACAAACATTTAATTACAACCGAAATGTACTGCTAAAACTGCGAGGAAATAAAAAAAACAATGCCGGTAATTCCGACACATCTGTGTGTGATGCTCTGTGGCTAACTTGGCTAACAGTAGCTAAGCCATTTCCAGCGTTTCGCTGAATATTGTCCTGAACCCAGCGGTTGTTGTTTATTATCAGTTCTCCTCAGTTTGATATTAGGTTGTGTTCTAAGTTACTTTGACGTTTGAAGTGTCATTTGTGGCTTTGTTAATGGCCTTTTGATATGGTAAACTCCGTTTGTTATAAACATCTGGTCGGCCTCTGTTAGTGAATCACCTGTTCTGTTTGTCTGTGGCGTGTTGGTCTCCATCAGGCTCCACGTAGCTGAGCTCGTTAAACAGGGAAAAGAGAAAGAACATAGCCAGTGGCACTGGTTACTTTAACGAAAATCTCGTGTAATCGTCAGCTAATCACCTTATTTCTTCGACTGAAGTCTTTTCTTTCATCTCTCATTGGGAAAAGTCACAAAATCAAAAGACCTGTTTTTAACTGTACTGCTTAAGAAGATTTGATTACGGTTCAATCATTTGAAATGTTTGTACAGCGTCACCTATACATGCACGAAGATACACAAGGACAGCTAGCTTAAAAACCTTTCCATAAAGTTGTTCTTAAAGATGAGCATATTTAACATTATTTTGATGTGCATAGCTAAAAAGGGAACATCCTCTCAAGCTTCTCTGTAAAGTGTTTTTAGTAAAGTAATAAGGGCCTGCAAGGTTTTCTTGGGAAAGTCTGATAATAAAATAAATTAGTTAGTCAGGTCATGCCATTTAAGTTTGTGCTAGATGCCATTGTGGAGTAATTTTTTTGCAAACTTCAAATTAATGTACAACAGAACTGCCGCCCCTGTTTTACAATTCTGACGTCTCACTGAAACTTGAGAGTACTTATGACTGAATGAGGGATTCATTCAGACAACAGATATGATTATTCATCACCCTTGGTGATTATAGTAAACTTGTGGCCATTTTTGTGATTGGTAGGCAGTCCCACACACTGTACATCAAAATATGATTGGTTGATTCTGCTGTCAATTCCTTGTTGTACTGGTAGTAAATCTCATGTCTAAGGCCTTCTGTCTTGCTCCTGAAGTTCTAAACAATGGTAGAGTGAAATTGTGTCAACTAAAAACTTGACAATGAAATAAGAGCACTACAATACTTACAAAGTTTAAATGCAAGAAGTATGATGATTCTATTAGATAAAAATGAACAAAAAATACATTTTTATTGCTTTTAGAGATGTTCCCAGCAGGGTTCCCAGCTGAATTAATAGGATTAAAAGAAGTCTATGTCGCACAAAAGATTTTCTTTTCTTGTTAACTACATTAGCCTCATAGCTCCAGTGCAAAACTACATAAGCAAACTTTAGACACCAAACATGTCTTGGCGGAGGGAAAACAGTAAATTAATTGTTTTTTCCTTGTAACAATCCTTTTAACTTTGTGACTTGTACAGCATCTTGCCTCATGAGATTTATGAGAATGAGTGTGTGCAGAGAAAAATAAACCTTTTTCTTGTGTTTAGTTTGTTTAGTTTGTTTTTTATTGTTTCTATTGCAGAATAGGTGGATTCTATATGCAAGTAGAATAATGTTAAGGTGCCAAAATCTGAACAAAATGATATTTTCTAAAAGATGAATATGCAAGTAGTTATTGGTGTGGGTATTTTTACACATAAGTATTTGGAAATAGTGCAGCCTCACACTATTTAATTGTGCTTAATGACAAGCACATTTAACACCAGCCTTGATTTTGACTGCGTATTTAAATGCAGTGTTGACAGTGAATGTAATACTTTTTAGTGGTCATTGCTTAAGGTTAACCATGACAGATTTGCATATTTACTTCTTGGTGAAAAATGTTGTGTTGTATCCTGTATCCCGTCTTACATTTTATCCACAATGGGTTGGTCTCCTGCAGGTTTTAGTCATTATCAAACTGGAGGACACCTAATTCTATTTGTAATCAAATGGTCTTCAAACACGTGATCAAGTCTGCTTCATCTTGGTTGGAATGAAAACCTGCAGCCACACCAGCCCTTCGTAGATGCGATTATAGATGTCTGGTCTACATGTGGCGACACAATGTAACTATAAGGAATTTGGTAACAATAAATTAATCTGAAAGAATCATTTACCTACTCTGAACTACACAGATGTCTATTTATTTTGAGTCGACTGTCTAATGTTCCAAGTCTAAGCTCAGTCAGCAGATAGATGGACCTTTAAATCATCCTCTCTCCTCTTCTTCTCTTTGTACAGAAATGTGAGGGAATGCTGCCAGTGGAGTTTCGCTCCTTTGCAGTTGATCCCCAGATAACATCACTGGAGGTGTTGCAGCATATCCTCATACGAGCCTTTGAGCTCAATGGGTGAGTGAATACAGAATGATCGAAGTACGGACAAGTAGCCCAATTTGTGTAATCGGTATGGTCCTATACAGTTATCAAATGTTTGGGCACCCTTGGTTAAATTACTTGTTTCGTTGTCCTTTGTTTGCTGTGTCGTTGTTGTCATTGCTTAAGATACCACATATAGGTGAACCAAGGACAACTAAACTGGGTTAAGCTAATCATTAGCCTTCAGTGAACTCAACAGGTGAGTAAACTTTGAGGCACAGGTTTTCAGTCTGTGAGAGTTTTGAGAATCAAGCTTATAAGATGGTTCACACTTCAGTTTTAAAGTTGAAAGATGTTTTTCTTTAATGTGCAATTGATATCATTTACATACATACAAAGTTTGCTTATTCAACGTTGAAAAAAAGACATCTGTTTTTCTGTTTTCCAGAAGGCGTAATTTTGGTATTAGTTACTTATCCCGTGATCGTGGAGGTGTGGAGGTCTACCTCTCCCTCCTGTCTGACTGGGACTTAGACGCAGCATTTGTCAGCGCAGCTAAGCCTTACCTCCAACTTAAGATGGACATCAAGCCCTCAGAAGACAGTGAGTAAATTCTTTCTGTTCACCATCACAAGGGCAAAGGAAAGGGTATGAGAACTCAGCACTGATAGTTGGTTTACAGTAGTTTTGGGAAACACTTGAAACTTAACAAACTCTTTGAACAATGGAGATGTGGTAGGTGCTAGGGTTGGGCGCTATAATCGCAACAACTCATATCACAGTATTTTACATTTTTATTCCACTTCTGATTGACGAAATAGACACATTCCAACCATTTTTATTTTAGAGGGACTGACTGATTGGTGGTGTGCAAGCTCGCTGATAGGTGTTGCTGATCATAAGACAGGAAAAATCAGAGCCAAGAAAAATATTAGAAAAACTAAGCATGACAGCAGCTCAGCAACGGCTAAGAGCTATCAAAGTCATTGGTGAAATCTGATAGAGTAAATAGTTTGTAGCGTTTGGATCAAATAACCTGTTTTTGCAGGTTGTTTTGGCTACTGAGCATATCACCACAATGAGGGGGAGGCGGGACTTTTACCGTAAATGAACTTCATGTTGAGTGTTGTGAGCTTTCCCATTTGTTTCATCTCCTCCATTATAACATTACTGAAACTACACAGACCACAGGACATGTTCAACTTCAGCTTTCACTCCAATGCTAGTCACTTGACTTTGTGCTCTCAGATATCCTCTAAACAGGCATCATTTTAGTATCAGTTAGCTGCAGCCAAGCCTGTGCATGTGGCACGTCTACACTGTTAACAAAGCTCTTGCTAGCTTTGTCAAAACATTACTGTCCCAAACTACAGAACAAGATTGATTTTGGCCTTCTGTCACTCTAGCACCAGTCTTTAAACTTTTGTTCTTTCAGACTTTAGTTTTCATTTTCTACACTTGTTCCTCTGAGCACTCGTTAATCAGAATCTAACCTGTACTGCGGTGTGGGGTATTGTTTGGGTCCGTAGTTTGCTCGCTAAGCTAATGTTAAGTTACAGATCCACATGCCACAAAATAGGTTTGATTTTGCCTTTCTGTCCCTTTAACATCAGTTGCTCGACTTTCCTACCTCAGATTTGAACCTTTGTCTCCTAAATGTGTGTCTCTGCTTTTGTTAGTGAGAGTCAAACATGTTCTGTAGTGAAGAGAGCTGTTGTCATGTTAGTGAAGCTAATGCTAACAAGCTCCTCTCTCCTAGTTAGCAGCACTGTTTAACATTTAACAGTTGTTAGATAGATTACTTCACAGTTATTTAGTGATGGCTTGAAAATTGTGCAATGCATTCACTTGTTTGTTGACCATGTAAGCGAAACTTTTTGATTATTTTTGATTTTCAAATAATACAGGACGCAACAGCACAAAACTGTCCATAAATATTTTCACGTCACTTTATGCTTTTACGCATCTTTCATTAAAAAGAGATTTAAAAGGGCTCCCTATTGGTATAGCTTGTCCTTGAATCCCAACGATACTGGGGGTTCAAGAAAGCACAGTTGTTCTTGTTTGGTTTAATGTAGTGCCAGATAATTCAAATAATTTTGATTGATCACATTATTTTGCATAGCTTTTAATGTGATTTATGTTTCTCATATAGGCTCAGATTTCATCCTAAATAGAGATTTGTTTTTTTTCTTTAAAAAAATCCATGCATTTTGTTATAGCTATATGAGGGCAAACATGACAATACAATGAATACAGTTACCAGTTTTCCTCATCATGAAGTGGTTTTCCTCATCATGAAGTGAGGGCAGCAGCTACTGCATGTTCTCTGTGATTGTTTTCCTCTTGCTCTAATATCGCTGTTACGTTGCTATGGTTACTTTTGTTACTATTGATTCATCCATTGTCCCTCGAGCACTGTCCTGCTAAAGGTGTCCTCCAGTGTGGTGTGTTTTCCTTGTAAATGATACCTTATGCTTGACATGAAAAATTCACCATGACAGTAGCTGTAAATGATTTGGATTTTATCAAAAGAGTCTACAGTAAAACTCACCATTTAAAACCTGTCTTTGAATGTGAGGGCTACAGTCGTGGAGTCAGTCATAGCATCGTGTGAGCAACTGGGCTTCATGGTAGAACTACAGATAGTTCAAAGGGTCAAACTAGGAAAATGCGTTATTAGCATTAAAAGAAGAAAAGTGTTTTAATTTATCATCTTAACATGTTATTAACACTTATTTTAATACCACTAATTTTTATGAACATTTTGTAAAGGTGGCAATATTGGTGTCATGTCTGTTCCAAAACTAAATATTGTGGTACATATCTCATATCATGAAAATGTCTTCAGGTATTGTGATATGTTATTGCCTTATTGTTCACCCCTATCAGACAGTGTAGATTCTCACTGGAATATATGGCTCTCACTTTGTCTCAGCAATGCTATGTATCTCCCGTTCTCCCAGGTCCAGTGCTTGAGGACTGGGACATTATCAGTCCGAAGGATGTGATCGGCTCTGATCAACTACAGGGGGAGAAGAGATCGCTGGCGTCCACTGCTCTTCCCTTCACCCAGTCACTGCTGTCCCAGGTTACTGATCCTGTCAGCCAGCTGTTTTACCAGCCAGTCTCTGCTGCGTTCAGTCAGGTTCCTCATCTCCTAATGCAATCATACCATAACCAAAAGCAGTTTCCCAAAGAAACATGCTGTGAAGGCTTAAATTGCCATGGATTGCAACTGTAATTTTGGGAAACAGCACGATCCTCTTTAATGTTGATTAACTGCTCCGTTACTTTAATGAAGATATAATTAATTGGTATTCTTAGCAAAGGCCACAGTTTAAAATATATGAAATATTTACTCGTCCTGGGTTTGCCATCCAGCCTGTTGCTACACTTTCTTTCTCACTCACTTTCAGATGGGTAGGACTCTATCTAGGGTGCAGCAGGCCTTGAGCTGGTCTTATGGCGAGGAGGTTAAACCATTCAAACCTCCTCTAAATGATACAGAGTTCCACAGCTACCTGAACAGCCAGGGACAACTAACACGACCAGAGGAGCTACGACTACGCATCTATCATGGCGGGGTTGACCCATCCCTGCGCAAGGTTTGTTAGAGACGGAATGATACTGTATGCTAAAGAAAGTAGCAGTTAAAAGAGGAATACTTTAACAGATACACAACTCCAAAGAAAAATTCTGAGAGTTGTCCATTATTATGGCCCATCATATAGTAGTCATTTTGCAAAATTCCAGTGCAAAGAAATGCTTAATATATTCTCTTGGCATTTGTCAGCCTACCTTTAAATCTAGCTTCTTTTTTCCTGACAGGTAGTGTGGCGGTACCTTTTAAATGTGTACCCAGATGGTCTGACAGGACAGGAGAGGATGGACTACATGAAGAGGAAGACAAGAGAATATGACCAGCTGAAACGTGAGTGGACAGCCAGGGTCAGCCCAGAGGATTTGGAGTTCATTAGAGGCAATGTGCTAAAGGATGTGCTCCGAACAGACCGAGCCCATCCTTATTATGCTGGCTCGGAGGACAGCCCCCATCTGACTGCCCTGACAGACCTCCTAACAACCTTTGCTATCACACATCCACAGGTATGCAGCAGTGACCGCTATCTGCTGAAATTTGCTCAGTTCCTAGTCGGAAGTGACAGATGGACAACAAAAATAAAATAAAATTTAATTAAGGTGCGCAGACCACCAGTGACATTTTGCATTGACGGGTGCTGCCAGCACTGCTCACTGTCTCTGTGCTCAGTGACTGTCTATTACTGTCTTAAATTAAATCCCGAACCACACCACAAAAAGCTGTAATACATGTGCCTTGAGATTTAAAATATAAACTTAAATGTTTTACTTCATGTTTTAGCTTAAAAACGGTGAGGTTTTGAAAAGTTAATTAGCTTGTACCAAACATGATAACTTTTGACATAATTTGTTGAATTCTTCTGCTAAATCTATATGAGTAGAGTATAAAATGAGTTTGAATTTGATGTTTATCTGTGCTTTTCACGGACTCTTTCCATGAGGTATAGCTGCATTTTGTACTAGCTGCTTCATGGCGCTTCTCATCCTGTGTGCAGTAGTCTTGAAAGAGACCTTAGACAGCGGCAGTTGTTCTCCTATTGAAACTGATTAGAACTTAGAACTAATCCAAACATGAAACAGAGGGTGTACACTGCCATGTTGTGCAGTGCTGATTTCAGACATCTCATGGTTCTTGAATATGAGAACATATTAGAGAGAAGCTAATTTGCTTATCAAAAGTCATAATTTACTGTTTATCCTTCATTTTATCTTTCATGACTACAGAAATTCTGTTAACAAATAATTTAATCCCTTCCTGAAGGCTTTATTTGAAGGACAGTTTTCAGCTGTGTTGTCTTAAACATTCCTTGTTCTACTCTCATAGGTGTCTTATTGTCAAGGCATGAGTGATATTGCCTCTCCAATCCTTGCTGTCATGGACAATGAAGCGCACGCTTTCATCTGCTTCTGTGGAATCATGAAGCGTCTAGAAGGCAACTTTCGCCCTGATGGGGAGCTCATGTCCATAAAGTTCCAGCACCTCAAGTTGCTTTTACAATATTCAGACCCTGACTTTTATGCCTATCTGGTCTCCAAAGGTGCAGATGACCTATTCTTTTGTTACCGCTGGCTGCTTCTTGAGCTGAAGCGGGAGTTTGCCTTTGACGATGCCCTGAGGATGCTGGAGGTGACCTGGAGTTCTTTGCCTCCAGACCCACCTGAGACTGAAGTTGAGCTTCTTGGCCCACCGCTTGAAACGGACCAGCCTCCTAGTCTTGACAATGGTCGCCAAAGCTCTGACAACGATGAGCTGGAGAAAGATCACACAGAAAGGCAACGGAGACGCCACATGCTGAGGCCATCTCGGGAAGAGGCAGACGGAGGACGCAATCTCAGTTTGGAGGTAGAGAGGAAAGAGGAGAAGGCATCTAATATGGAAGGCGAAGAGGAGTACAGTGTCCCGACTGTGGGCAAGTGTGATGCCCCTGCACCTCCATTTGAGAAGCAGTCCAGTTTTGGAGAGTTCAAGTACTACAGTGCCCGGAATGAGGACAGTTTTGAGATGAATGAAAACGACCCATCTGATCCCACGTTATCTCCAGCCGAGTTTCACTCCACACATTCAACGTTGCCTCTCACTGTCCGTCAGTCTACAGAGGACAGTGAGGATGATCCAGGAGAGAGGCAGCCTTTAATAAGCAGTACTGACAAACTTTCATCTCCTGAGATGGAAGAAAGAAGCTCTCCCAATGGCCAGATGGCCTCCCCTCTCCCTCCATGTATAGCCAACTGGAGAAATGGCTCCTCTCAGTCTTCTGCAACATCTCCTTCAATGTCCAGCTGGAGAACGGCATCTCCTGATGTCCCAGCATCAAAAACTTCTTCTTCTCCCGATAAAGCATTAGGGAGATTGGCATCCACAGCTGCTGTATCTAATGGAACTGGAGCACACTCCCCATCAACCCCCACAGGCAAGTCAGGCGTTTCCTCTCCATCGCTTGGCTACAATCGCTCCCTGCTCTCCTCCCCTGTTTTGTCCTTTGGCAAATCCCAAACTTTACCTAAACCGTTCTCCAGCAATCTTCCATCACCATGCAAACCTCCAGGTACTGGGATGAACTCGCCGAATACAGGCAAATCAGAGGCTGCTGGTGTCAAACCCTGTTCCCTTCCTCCTCCTCAAGAGTTTGGGAAGGGAAATCCTTTCATGTTGTTCCTGTGCCTCTCCATCTTGTTGGAGCACCGTGACCACATCATTAAAAACAGCTTGGATTACAACGAGCTGGCAATGCATTTCGATCGCTTGGTTCGTCGGCACAACCTTGGACGTATTCTTCAGCGTGCCAAGGCCTTATTTGCTGACTATCTGCAGAGTGAGGTGTGGGACTCGGAGGAAGGGGATGAGGTCAGCTTGGACTCCCCCACCACAGCTGCAACCTCACCACACACTCCCACCAGGCCCACCTTTTCCAACCTGCAGCCAGCGATGGCCACATCCCCAAACTCTACCTACAACTTGGCCACCACAATCCCCTCTCCTACAACCCCCACTGCCTACTCTCCCTCATCCTGATTCATTTCAGTGTCATCTCCAGCAGCCATCTCCACCATGCAAACAGATGCAGGTGAAAACAAAGGCGAGCCGTAGCCTACTTTAGTGCTTTTCATATGCTTTAATGTTTTTGTTTATGTGGCAAACCAAAGCTGAGTAAGCGCTTCTTTCTCTAGCCTCTCCCTTGGTGTGCGATTTTCCTCACAGTATTTTTGTTCTGTATCTTATTGCCTTTAAGGTTTTTTTGTACACTTATGCGTGCGATTCATTGTACTGTATGTAATTTACTTTATCTTGCACTTTATCTTTTGTCCCTTAGAGGGCAGGGCCAGTTTCTTTTGTCGCATTATATTATGTAAATAAAAGCTCCGAAAAGAGTACAAGAAGAACAGCTGTAGAAACTTTTAATAGCAAAAAACAATGCTGGACATACTCCAACAAAGCAACAAAAATGGGCTGCTATGTGGGTAATATGAGTCTCCTTGAGTGCCCTGCTCCATTAATCCTCACTTTTGCGTTGTTTGCAATGTTTACTCAAGACCCCAGTGAGTGTTTTAAGTTCTGAATTACAGGTGAATTAGTTTGTCACTCAGAATTCAATTTTACCACATAATCTGTATTTTGAGAAAAGACCAATACGTACATCATATATTCGGTGTAGCTCCAATTCTAATTTTGGGTTTTCAGTGAAGAGGACTCTCTAACTGTCCAATATTTGGGATTTATAAATGATCACGTTTATTGCTCCATGAGGCCAGAATCATGTATTTCTTTTTTTTCGTTCTAGAGATGCTGAATCGCTTGGAAATGGAAGCGAATTACTGACCACGTTTAGTATTTATATGGTTGTTCAGCAGGACCATTGTCACATGCCACCATTGGCAAAACATAATATTCATCACACACTACTTCTATATTGAATGTACAGATCAAACTGTGTTATTAGATCTGTTTGACTAATTTTTGCCCACTCTAGGTTTTGTGCAGAAGTGCCTCATTTCTTTGAACAATCATATTTTTATTTATTGACCTTAACGCAGTCTCTCTTTCACCAATGGCTTTTTTTACCATTAAAATCACGTTAATCCTTCAGGTCCATCTCTTTAACATCTAGTAGTTTCTGAAAAAGCATAATCAAAATTTGTTACAGATTCATCAGATTTGCTCATTACCTTCTGTTACATATACTTTCTACAGAACGAGCACCTCATAGTGTATCATTTCTCACTGGACTAGAATTCTTGACTTGTCTTAATACTAAGTGTACTTTTATTTTCTTTCCTGTTAGAAGTGCTAAAATACATCCTGTACATGGACCAAAGGAATTTTCCTTGAAAATGCAACCATTCTGGGCCTCATGCACAATGTATGATTGTTGATTTCATTATCTTTATTTCTATATGTAGAATTCTTTACTTGAACATAAGTTAGTCCCGTTTAGAGATTTGCTGGACTGAATGCTAGCAATACCCATATTTATACAATAAATTCACTTCAGACCGATATCTTTTATCGCATTGTTCCTATGGTATGTGATCCAGTGTAAGGTGAAAAAAATAAGCAAGCAAATGGAAAATTACAGTACAATCTGGAAAAAATAAACTTTTATGTAATTAATGGTTCTGCTTGTGGTAACTAAAGGATGTTAGTGAAACCTACTACCTCATAATCTCAACATTTGTAAACCTCACAAAATAATACTTGAATACAAAACTGGTGTGCATACTCTGCATTTATTGATGCCACAAAGCAAGTTCAGTCTATTTACAGTTTAGTAACACTGATAGGACAGAAGAAAAATACTACTTTGAAAGATACTTGGTTTGGCGTAAATTCAGACTTATATAATTTCCCCCTTAACCCAAATGTAGTCATTCAGTACATGTTCAATGTCCAATGTTTGCTTAATATTGCTTAGCTGTGAGGCTAATGTAGCAAGTAATGAAGACTTAAACCAGTCAGACATTATACATTGAGCCCATTAGCACTGTGCAAACTGCATGCCTATTCAAGCGTTCACTACTGGTCAGTTACAATAGCTTTGCAGCTCCTGCGCAAAAATAAATCTTGGTTACATTTGGGGGGAAATCGTGTCAATAAAATTTTTACTGCAGTTTGTTTAATTCTTTACTTACAGAACCAGAGCCCTGGGGAATAAAGTGGTGTTCTTATGTTAGAAAACAAGTTTGAGATTTACTGTATTCTTACTGTTAATTAAAAAACTGCACACTATAGCAGAGGAAAGAAAAAAAAATAATGAATGTTTCCGCCCGGTTTCGAACCGGGGACCTTTCGCGTGTGAGGCGAACGTGATAACCACTACACTACGGAAACGTGTGATACTCAATTTTCAACATGTGTAGTTGTGGAATACCAGATATTCTCGTGTTGTTTTGTACGTGCTATGTCCTCCCGCATCACATTGCCTTAGTAAAAAAAAATCTTAATTAAACCAAAACCGGCAGGGATCCCGATTTTCGGTAATGAAAGGAATTAAGAGGAACTATAATTTTCAAAAGAATGGGTGCTGTGTCAGAATTTTCCTGAATTAGAAAAGTGGAAGAACGAGAGCCCCCTGAACATTTTAGCCTCAACTTGACGAAGCTGAAGTTGGCTTAGTCGCGAGGTTTTTCGCCGTATTTTTCCGGTCCACGTTAAAGCACTGCAGTAGCAAAATGTCGCCGGTAGAAGGCAGTATTTCTTGACTCGGAAAAAAAAAACAAGCCACGTGCAAATATGAGAGTGATTGCACAGTGGTCAGGTTTGCTGGGAACTGGATCTGGACGTTGGATCGTCTGTTGATCTCGCACCAAATCAGTTTAACAGACCAGCAGAAGCACCGTTTATAATAAAATATACCTTTGTTTGTCCTCACCCTGTGAACATGAAATGTGACTGTGAGAACCGAACTCTTGCTGTTTAACCTGCGTCCTTGCTATGTTTTTTTTTTTGTTTTTTTCAAGCTGTCTGTAGTTGTGATAATAAATCTGACGACAAAGTAAGGTTAGTGCTGGATTACAATACTGGAATGTATAAAAATTTACAGAGGCATGTTCACAATGTGACCCTTGAAGAATCACATATCACATATCGGTTTGTTCACAGCCAAAAAGAATAACTGCCCTCTCTGCTTACTTTCTGAAACCTTGTCTCTTTGATGTTGCACTGTGAAACCGTGCGTGTTTAAAAATGACGAGAATAAAATGCCGAAACCCGGGATCGAACCAGGGACCTTTAGATCTTCAGTCTAACGCTCTCCCAACTGAGCTATTTCGGCTGTGGGTCCTCACAGCGGCACTGTGTGCTCTTGGAACGCTTTTTTTGTGCCTAACGTATGCATATAATCTAATTTGGTGCTATGTAAAATAATCTGTCTTAAATATGTACGTTTATAGTATCATTTTGTCGTTGTCTTTAGACAACTCTACTGAAAAAAACACAGTGGTCAGGTCATTTGATGGTTTACCTGGGCTAGCAGTTGACCACGTGACCAAGCTAGTCTACCAGTTTAACCAACGTAACCAGCATGATCTGTTTTCGTCAAACCTGGATGTCCACTTTAGACAGCAAGAAGCTAATAACAATCAACTACCAGGCCACACCATCAGAAACCCGCGAATTCTACTCTGATAATGCAGCAAGAGGAAGCTGATGTTCACAAGACTTAAAAAAAATACTAAAAAAATAAAGTGTATCTTAAAATTAGAAAGCTGGAGCTGGAAAATAAGAAAAAAAGAGAAAGACGTGTCAATTAGAGTAATTTGAATAAGCTTGTTTTGTAACATTTACTTGAGGCTGTATTCCTGCCACAATCACTAATAAAAAGTGTTTGTTGTCTTGTTTATAAAATACACTTGTTTTAAAAATCTATGCACATGAATTTTAGGGAGTGAATCATTGTCCATCACAGCTCCACCATCCATGTGATCTTTAACCGCTTTATTAAAAGATCTTTTCACTGTTCAACCCTCAGTATTATCATCCACACTGTGTAAAATCCACAGGCTGTGACACAGGCTCTTTGTGGGGTGAATATTTTCTCACCAGGCATGAAATCTTTATTATCCTTTTTATTCTGACCTGGGAGCCCTTCTTGTGCCACCCCTTCACAGACAATATGTACACCATTTGAGTCATATTACATAAAATACATTTTACAAATATAATGTTTTACTACTAGTAAAATGTACTTTTTTTTATAAACCATCATTAGAAAGTATGTAATATCGTTTATTTTTTTATTTTTAGATTCTTCAAATATGAATTTGACAAGTGAATGGCCTCATTGTTTGTGCAAAAAATACTAATTCACTTCAAATTTTCTAATAAAAATTACATTGACCTGATTAGTCTACAAATCAAGAAGGTTAGTCAACATTCATTTTTAACTTTTTACTCCCTTTTCATAATTTTTTTTAACAAAATTGACCTTGTGACAGGGGAAACTGATGTAACGGGGGTGCGGACAAACTGTCTCTCTATATGATCTGCTGGTTTTAGTCTTCATCTAACACTGAAAACTCCTGTTAATTCTGCATATAAATGTAGGCATGACTTCATGGTACAAGAATATATATCAAAATGAGGTTTTATTAATATTACAGCATGCTAGGAAAAGTTCAAATATATATGCCTGTATTGAACTAAACAAATACTGACCATTCAAATTGTGAACAAAAACATCAGGAATTCAAATATGCAACAGTCAAAAATTAGGTTAAAACAGCCTTTCATTCTAATTATTGTTCTCGTAACAACTAATATTGAAAAATGAACAATGGTCCAAATATTTCATATATTCATAAAGCTATAGATAGTGAATGTGTAAGTGAGTGAATTAGTGAGTGAGTGAGTAAAAGTGATAGTGAGTGATTGAGTGAGTGAGTGAAAGTGATAGTGAGTGAGTGATTGAGTGAGTGAAAGTGATAGTGAGTGAGTGAGTGAGTAAAAGTGATAGTGAGTGAAAGTGATAGTGAGTGAGTGAGTGAAAGTGATAGTGAGTGAGTGAGTAAAAGTGATAGTGAGTGAGTGAGTGAAAGTGATAGTGAGTGAGTGAAAGAAATAAAGTGAGTGAGTGAGTGAGTGAGTGAAAGATGTAGTGAGTGAGTGAGTGAAAGATGTAAAGTGAGTGAGCGAGCGAGCGAGTGAGTGAGTGAGTGAGTGAAAGATGTAAAGTGAGTGAGTGAGTGAGCTTTCCCACTAAATCAGACATTTTAACCTGTACATTTGTACAGGCTCCAATTCAATTTTCACATTCAAACGGGAAGCAGAACCACCCTGTCACTATAAATGTGGTAAATTTCATCTTACAATTGCCACAGTTGTCATGTGGTTCTCCATATGGTCATGTGATTCTCTTGACCTTTACATGCATTCATGTGTGCATAAATAGTCTAGAAATTTTAATAAAAAACGCATTACCTGTCTATTTTGCGTCACGGGGTGGTTGGGTTGAGCTTGACGGACCCCGTCTAACCTGAAAAAGCAACAAATAGACATTGTAAAAGACTGTCAGAACTCGCCTGCTCTTATTCCTGGCTGCTCCACAGGCTCCAATACTGTCCCTCACCCTGTATGATGTCATTTAAAGCAATAGAGCACTATGTACGAGGCAGGGAAGCGGGAAGTGGGGGTGCTGAGGGGGCTGCAGTAGCCCCTGATTTCAGGACCGCCACTGTTTAAAATAATATAACAATAAAACGTTCGGAACATTATAAGAGTTTGAGCGTAGTACAGACCCATGTGTGCCTGTTTTAGAGTTTGCGGTTTTATATAGTCAAAACCTGCAGTAGTCCTGCTTTGTTTAAGAGAGCAAAGACTTTCTCTCTTCGAACCTCAACTTGCGTGTGTTTCAGCTCACGGCCCCAAAGCAGCCAGTAGCGGCCGCATACTGTTTTTACACTTAAAAATGATCAGCTATCGTTATAACAACGTTTTATCAACCGTTGTATCTCCCGCCCTGTTTGCGTTTCAGTGTGAAACCTCGCCGCGTGTCTGTGGGTGTGACACAATCGATTTCCGCGCCACATATCAACAATCTGATTGGTCGCGCTCAGTTAATTTGCGTAACGTTCGTACAGAACGAGAGAGCAGAGAGAGGATGCGCGATTTAATGTGTCATTTAAGCGGTATTTATATATTGTTATCTTCACACTGTAGTGCTATATAACACGTTCTGTTTGATGGAAACAAGCTAAATACATACATACATAAATAAATGAAAATCTTTTTGGCTGATGTCATCGGTCACGTCACATATACGCTACATAAAGTTTCAGAAGCCCCCACCCCCACCTTAAAGTTGTCTTTAGACAGCCCTGCTGAAAAAAACACCGTGGCCAGGTCATTTGATGGTTTACCTGGGCTAGCAGTTGACCACGTGACCAAGCTTGTCTACCAGTTTAACCAACGTAACCAGCATGATCTGTTTTCGTCAAACCTGGATGTCCACTTTAGACAGCAAGAAGCCAATAAGTCAACTACCAGGCCACACCATCAGAAACCAGCGAATTCTACTCTGATAATGCAGCAAGAGGAAGCTGATGTTCACAAGACTTAAAAAAATCTACTAAAAAAATTAAAGTGTAACTTGAAGTTAGAGAGCTGGAGCTGGAAAATAAAAAAAAAGACAAAGACGTAGTTGTCAATTAGAGTAATCTGAATAAGCCCATTTTTACTTGAGGTTGTATTCCTGCCACAGGCTCAAAAAAATCACTAATAAAAGTATTTTTTCGTCTTGTTTATCAAATACACCTGTTTTAAAAATCCGTGCACAGGAATTTTATGGAGTGAATCATTGTCTACCACAGCTCCACCATCCATGTGATCTTTAACTGCTTTATTATGAATATATATATGAAGATCTTTCCGCTGTTCAGCCTACAGTGTTACCATCCACACTGTGTAAAATCCACAGGCTGTGACACAGGCTCTTTGTGGGGTGAATATTTTCTGGGACTTTTTGGGATGAATCAGAGATTTGGATACAGATATGTTAATCCTTCAAAAAAACATATTTTAAAAATCTTTATTAAAATCTTTATTATCCTTTTTATTCTGAGCCTGGGAGCCCTTCTTGTACCGCCCCTTCACTGACAATTTGTACGCCATTGAGTCATATTACATGAAATACATTTTACAAATATAATGTTTCACTACTAGTAAAATGTACTTTTTTTTATAAACCATCATTAGAAAGTATGTAATATAATCATTTATATAATCATTATTAAAGCACCCTCCCGTGCGCCTTCCCTGTAGTTCGGCACACAGCTTGTGTCATATTACTAGACACCAATGAAGGGCAGTATGAAGTATATAGTTTACTACTAATGAAGGACAGTATGCAGTATACAGTACAGGGCAGTATGCAGTATACAGTATACACTGATGAAGAACAGTATGCACTGTACAGTATACACTGATGAAGGGCAGTATGCAGTATACATGGTACACTGATGTAGGACAGTATGCAGTATGCACTGATGAAGGGCAGTATGCAGTATACACTGATGAAGGGCAGTATGCAGTATACAGGATACACTGATGAAGGGCAGCATGCAGTATACACTGATGAAGGGCAATATACAGGATACACTGATGAAGGGCAGTATGCAGTATACATGGTACACTGATGAAGGGCAGTATGCAGTATGCACTGATGAAGGGCAGTATGCAGGATACACTGATGAAGGAAAGTATGCAGTATACGGGATACACTGATGAAGGGCAGTATGCACTGTACAGTATATACTGAAGAAGGGCTGTATGCAGTACACAGGACACACTGATGTAGGGCAGTATACAGTATTCACTGATTAAGAACAGTATACAGGATACACTGATGAAGGGCAGCATGCAGTATACACTGATGAAGGGCAGTATTCAGTATACAGGATGCACTGATGAAGGGCAGTACACTGATGCAGTGATGAAGGGCAGTATGCAGTATACAGGATACACTGATGAAGGGCAGTATGCAGTATACAGGATACACGGATGAAGGGCAGTATACACTTATAAAGGGCAGTAAATAGTACACACTGATGAAGGGCAGTATGTAGTATACAGGATACACTGATGAAGGGCAGTATTCAGTATACAGGATACACTGATGAAGGGCAGTATACACTGATAAAGGGCAGTAAATAGTACACACTGATGAAGGGCAGTATGCAGTATACAGGATACACGGATGAAGGGCAGTATACACTGATAAAGGGCAGTAAATAGTACACACTAATGAAGGGCAGTATTCAGTATACAGGATACACTGATGAAGGGCAGTATGCAGTACACACTGATGGGCAGCATGCAGTATACAGTACACAGTATGCTATTTCAAACATAGCCAATGATCAGGCTACGCTGATCCTCCACTTTAGCCAAGAAATTGACGAAAATTATTGATCTAGCTGGAATAATCCCCGGACTAGGTTTCCACCAGTTAATGTCATTACTGTCACAACAACTACACCTCAAACGCATGATCACGATTGAGATGTGAATTGTCAGAAGTTAACATGGCTAACACCCAGCACGTTGTTTCCGTAGTGTAGTGGTTATCACGTTCGCCTCACACGCGAAAGGTCCCCGGTTCAAAACCGGGCGGAAACAACGTTTAAGTGCCTTTAATCTGGAGAGGAATTGTGTTGATGTGTTGACAGTTTGACAAAATGAAATCAGAGTTAGGAAAGTTCACCACACAGCGTCATCATGACCCTTGACTGTGTGTTTACCAGAACCACTGATAACCAACCAGGATTAATCAGTTTACAGGAAAGAAGCCTGTAATGTTTATTCATGCCTGGTGTGTGTGCACAACCACCTTCTCCTGAACGCTGACGTGACCCATGGATTGGTATTTATTTCAATAAAAAGCAGACTTTACAAGTCACACAGTAAACTTACTAAATTAGTAAGTACTAAAAAAAATGAGGCCTAGTAATGATGTCTGTGTGGTTTTATGTACCAAATACTTTTATATGTACCAAAAAAAACATTTTTACATGACCATTTCCAACCTCTCTCCATCCCTTAGAATTAAACAGGCTGTTTTTGTTACTGTCCCTTTAAGACTGATGTATGTAAATGATTTCTGTTCTTACTGGTTGTCCTGGGTTATTCAAAAGCACTCCGGGCTGAAACGTCTTATAACTCCAGTGTGAATGGACAGAACTAAACTGCTGTAGGCTGAACAGTCAGATATATGAAAATGAGTTAGATTACATGACATTACAAAAGCAATTAAGTAAAAACAGACTGTTTTGTAATTTAGATTGTATGTATGGGCTGTAGAGTGAATGGTAAGTTGTGAAGTAGTTGTGTGTAGTCCAATAAAATAAGAGGAACACACTTTACTGGAAAACTTGGTTTTATCAAGACTGCTGGTTACATGTCAGCATTTATGAATGACAAATGAGATGTGGCTCTTTCCTGCAACAACATTTTATTCAAAAAGCATTCTGAGATGAATATATGCATTTTATTCATTTAAGGTATCCTGGCTTCTTTTAAGAGAGCTCTAACTGCCAGCAAATGTAATTTATTTCTATTTCAAATTCAGACTTTATCTAACCAGCAATAAAAGTACTTTACTGAAATAACAAGTTAAGCAGAAGTAGAAGTATTTTTACAATAAGCGTCTTGCGTAGAAGCAGGAAAGTTGCAAGTAAAAAGAGTAACTTGTAGAACTGCAGTGGAACATCTTAGTACATCCTGCATCTACCATCAGAGGAACTGAAGTTTGTTAGGTAATATTTTTCTCTTTTTGGTGCATTCTTGGTCTAAAATAAAATGATAAACCTCACAATGATAGCCTAAATCAGAGGTCACGAATAGGCGGACCGCGATCCTATGCAGACCTGTACCTATAACTGATAAACTAAGTAGAAATGGGAGGAACGAGGTGAGAATCAGCAGTCGGAGAAGAAAGTGAGTCAGAGGGAGGTTATTTCACATTGCGTGCTCTTAAAAGAGAAAACTGACAATAAATATTGTTGAAATATTACTGAATTGTACTGTATTTGATTTGACATTCAGTTGTTGACTACATAAGATGTTGATATAACTACTAGGCTAATTCAGTATACAGTATACAGCACTAAATCATGATGAAAGTTAGACATTATGATGTTTCGGACCTTTGCTTGAAGAAATTTTCTCTAACTGAACCTTATTGAATTTTAATTAAATAGGCCTGGCCTAAATGATAGCGATAGGTGTGACCAGTCTCAGTACAATACAGATTCAGTCACCAATATTACATAACAAAACTAAAAAAGAAAATGGTAAGTAGATGTTAGATGTCTAAAATATAACCGTAACAGTTCATTTTTTAAATACAGCTGAATAGAAGTTGCCGTATCATTTGAAAATACTCACTAGTAAAGTTAAAATCCAACAAAATGTTATTTAAGTACATGTAACTGAGTAGATATAACTAGTTACCACTGATCTGTGTTGACGCATTGTCTTCTTTTAGGGTTGCAGAGTTTTGGGCGTACTTTAGAGATGACTGAAATGAAGCAAGACAGAAGCCACAAGCCGCTGACATAGAAACACTGTGAAAAAGCTTCATTTAATACTTCAAATCGCATCAATGGCAGTCATCAAATGAGCTTGTACTTCCTCTAGCAATCAGGAAGATTGAAACATGCTCTAGTCTCTTCTGTGTCTGAAGGTGGACAGTTGATATCAGGGATTCCTGAAAAAATCTCAAGGTTCTTGTCTCTGTGGGGGAGAAACAGCAAGGGTAAAATTATTAGTTGATGTCAAAATAACACTAAACAGCACACTTTTGTGCACATGAGAGAACACGCAGATGTTCTATAATATCTATTGCTGGTTCTCTATACCGCTTATTTATTATAAACTCACAAACTGCCAGAAAAAAAATAAAGAATCTGTCCTTTAAAAGGCCCATATCATGTAAAACTGAATTTCACGTTTCAAAATGTACAGTTTAATCCCAGTTCATACAGTGCATAGATAGAAGCTAAGCAGCTTCTACAAAAAATATACTTTTTCAATGAATTGTTGTTGTCATGAAACCAAATTTACAAACATCTGACTACTCAGCCTGTAGCAGTTTAGCTCCACCCATTCACGCTGAAGTTATAAGGAGTGTTTCAACCAGGAGTGCTTTTTGAATGAGACACAATACAGGGCAGCCACTCAGAACAGAAGTCATTTACATATACTAGTCGTAAAGTCACAGTAGCTAAAACAGCCTGTTTCGGTCTAAGGGATGAAGAGAGGTTGGACAGTGGTCTACTGTTAAAAGTAGACCTTAGAGAAAACAAGAAAATACCAGAATAATGCAGGATATGGGCCCTTTAAATAAAGAGCATGCCATTTGAAGAGCTTTACCTGTATTTTGAGAGGTCTGGCACGCACTCCTTCTTTCTCATCTGAACAGAATTCTTTCCACAGTCAGGTTTACACAAACTCCAGCTACTCCATTCTGACCAGGAGCCAGTTACTGCATGGTCACAAAAGATTTGAAGTCACGTGTAAAAATGTACTTGCAGTGAAAAATAAATAACTAGATAAACAAAAATGCAGTATTATGACTATATGATGAGTATTAGCTATAAAAAGGAGTTTATTGATTATATTATTAATTCTGATATAAATCAGAATAGGTTGAGATATTATAAATGCGAACCACAACAATCATCATCATTGTCATCATTGCCATCATTGTAGTCATCATAGGCACCTGAGCAATGGAGCAAGTGTAGCAGATGCACCCCCCGTTTATTAGAGGAGTTGTAAACATACACACTTGCCCCCCCCCTTTTATTGGAATGAAAATTAGGCTTCCTGTGGAAATAACTGTGTGAGCACAAGTTTATGGGTTTAATTTGTAAGTTTATATTTTTCATGCAAATTTATCGTCCTCCTGTGGTATAAATAATAAATGTAGCACTGGTCATATTTTACCCCCATATCATTAAACACACGCATGTACGAATGATTATAGCCGACTAATGTTTGCTAGCTAATACATTTAGCATCATGTGATGAGCCAGTTATTGATTTTAACATCTCTGAGCTCTTTTGTGAAATGATCAAGATAACAATCTTCACAGTAGTAGGGCATGTTTGCGAGTGATAAGCTTAGCCTCATTGTTGTACTGGTCTCCTGCTTGGAGGGATTGTGAAATGACCAGCGGACTGAAGCAAACAATGAGAGAGAAGAAAATATGTTAAGAATTTCAGAACTTCATGTAAATGATGTTACTTTTTCATGTTATCATGTATTTCATGTATTAATAGAAGAATTGCCTAAACAAAACTGCCAACCAGTAACAACCCATGTGCCTTATGTACGTTACTTTTTATGTATTGTAATGAAATATGTCACTGAATAGATTTAGGACACTGTACTTATTATTCAGCCATCACTACCTTTTCAAAGCATTACCCAGCTCTGTCAGTGGCTCATATCATTTAAAGCTTAATCTGAGGAGCCAGACGTCTTTGTTATCTTTGGATAATAACTAATGAATAATAATTTCAGCTTTAGGGGATGCACTGCTCATACCACCTGAACCATGATAGGAGTTTTATAGTAATTTCTAGCATTAAGCATGTGTTACATTAGGAATTGGGAATGTGCTGTTTAATGGTTATTCGATACGTGAAATATTCTTACCTTGAACACTTTAAATTGCTATAATTACATTTAAACAAACACACTGAATTAACCACCCTGTCAGCAGAAATATACTCAATTATATTGCAGCATTATAACAGTGTTGTAACTGTCTTTTTATTAGCTTCATTAACTTTAGCTTTTATACAAAACTCTTCATTAATCTCATCTATGGGTATTATTACATGCCCTTCAATATTGTTGTATTTATGAAAACAGAATACTTCTGAACAAAAAAATTCCCCTTAATCTATCTATTACCTGTACAGTAGTCTTAGGACTGGTTTACCAAGACAGATCACTGATATCTCTAACACAGATCAGTAGCCGTTAGACAGAGCTCTGAGATAGAGAGAAGCGCAATGACAAGGCTAGAAAGGTATTTTATCTACTTCAACAAATCAAGTGCCCTTAGAGTGACACTCAATTGGACATTGCAACATAGCTACTAATGGCATTACCAACCAGCAACAACAACAGAGCTAAAAAAAATTGTCCTATCTTGTCATTATATCCTACTACTGTAGCATACTTGTAGGTAGCCCCCCAAATAAAACTATAGGTAGGATGTTTTGATAGCCTAAATCACCCTATCAGGAATTGGTATCAGCAGATTCTGCATTATACACTTGAAGCATATCTGGATTAATATTAAAACCACAATAAAGTATTAGAAAAACAAATAAAGTTATTATACACACTTGAAAAAGATGGTTCTTCAAGAATTCTTTACTAAAGAAAATGCTTCTATATAGAACCATGCACACTCATGGAAACATTTGCATGATTAAAGGGTTCTTTGCATCATGAAAGCATTCTTCAGATTGATGGAGAATGTGTTGTAGATGATTCTATATAGAGGCTTTTTGAAAAGGGTTCTATATAGCACCAAAAATGGGTCTTCTATTGTAACGAGCGTGACATTGTAACTCTTACTGGTGCTATATAGAACCCTTTTCAAAAAGCTTCTATATAGAACCATCTACAGCACAATCTCCATTAATATGAATAACAATTTCACAATGCAAAGAACACCAAGGGTTCTTTGAAGGTTCATGGTTCTATACCCTTAAGAAACCATAATTTTTAAGTGTGTACTATACTAATGATGTGGGCATGCGCAGTAAACCCGCTCAATGGCTAGACCAAATTGTTAGAACACCAATCCCAAACCAGACACCTGGCAACCCTAGTTGTATATACATAAGGGTCACACAGACACAAAAGTACACCTTTAGATGTAAAAGCTTCTTTCTAGGTTTAATGAAATAAATAAATTACCAAACTGTCAAGCTAGTTAGCTACCTATCAATAATAAACTATACCAGAAGCAGGATTTTCATCTTTGTAGGTGAACAAGCGCGGCCACATTAATAAAAGTGCTTTTATTGTGTTTGGGTGCTTTTTAATTGTGGCAGTGTGTGATTTTTTTTTATATAAAGATAGCTACAGTTATGCTGTCTGTTTTATCTTGGCGCAGCCATCTTTGTGGAGAGGTGTGAATTGTTTTCACCCCTCATTGCTCGCTAGCAGTTCAACACAGAGTAACTTTTCACACACAATCAACAGCGTCCTAGTTAATCATATATTGGAAAACAAATCAGTTTGGGGGCAAAATATTTTATTTGATTGTATTAATTATTTCCACTATGAGGCCTGCAGAAAGAGGCTAACTTGTGCTTCTCTAAATGTGTCATTCACACTGTGTGTGATAAATGAGATAAGTGAATGGAGATACTTACAATCATCGCATCTGTCAATGTCATAGCAGGTTGTGTGTTCCACACCTTCCCCAGGACAGTACTGCCCCTCGTGGTACCTGCCTAAACAATCTCGTTCTCTCCTCCGATATCCCTGTCTGTTCTTACAATTAATTGTTCTTTCATTGGGTGATTTACACTGAGACCATTGACCCCACTCACTCCAATGACCATCAACTGAAAGAGGAGAAATGTTGCTGTTTTATATTTTCCATTATCCATGTCCAAAGAAAACAGAAGGTAAAGTAAAGAAGTAAAAGTATTTTAGCACTGTTAGCTTATAGTTAGTTGCTATAAGTTAAAAATTAGAAACATCAGATCATCATAATTATGGTCTTTTACATATGACACAAAATATTATTTTTCAAAGAAGATCAACTAAAATAAAACAGTACAAACAGAAAAGGGTCTTACATGGGCAGTATTTATCAGTAGTGCAGAGTGTAATTCTGGTGTCGTCCCCTTGGCACTGCTGGCCACCATATTTTGGTGCAGGATTGTCGCATTTTCGACGTTGCATTTGTCGCCCCACTCCACATGTCACAGAGCATGGCGAGGGAGAGCCCCAGTTTCCCCAGTTTCCATTCACTGTTAAAAAAACATGGAAAGCTTTACTCAGAATCAGAACAAGTTTCATTGCTCATGTAAGACACAGCTTACAAGGAGCCTGTTAAGCTTGCATTGAGACAAACGTAGTGAAAAGTTGGACCTCCTTTTGCTGCTAGAGAAGCCCCCACTCTTCTAGCAAGGCTTTTTAACAGATTATGGAACAGGGCTGCAGGGTTTCGCTTCCAACAAGAATATTAGTGAGGCCTAGCACAGATATAGGGCAATACAGCCTTACTGACAGTCAACAATTCCAGTTTATCACAAAAAAGTTGAATGGTGTTCAGGTCAGGGCTATTCCCAAACTGTCAGAAGCACACAACTAACTAAAATGCCATTGTATGCTTAACTTGAAATTTCCCTTCACTGGAACTGGGGCACAAGTTTCTTAAAAATAGCCTCAGACCATTATTCCCCCTCAACCAAATTTTATACATACGGACAGGTAATAGTCTTCTGTATCCACCAAACCCAGATTTATCATTCATCATATATACAGATTTAGATATTTCATGAGTGGTCTTTCTGAAAATGTGGCATCCTATGACACTGCTGAGGTCATCGGTACAACCCATTCTGCTGATTTTATGCACCTGTTTGCAGTGTACTTGTAAAAGAGTGATGACTACAATTTCTACTGTTTGCTGTTTTATGGAGTGACATGGGTGAAATCACCATACTCACAATAGAACAATAGTGTACAGATTTAAGAATATATTGTTGCTTTCAGAACAAAAAAATCTAAATTTTTGCCATTTTTATTTTTTTTAAACACAATTTAAAGCACAATTTGTACTCTACACTGTGTCACAAATAGAAATGGTCAAAACCAAAATCTTGTTACTTCAACTTGTGTAAAAGTTAATAATGCTTTTAGCTTCTCCTGTTCTTCTTCAAGCATATTTAGAGGTGTACTGTGATCTATGTTTAAAAAGCATCACTAAGATTCAACAAATCAAAGACTGAACAGCGACAATATGCAGAATGCTGTAAGTGGAGTATTTTAGGTGTAGTGAAATTGAACTTGACTAACTGAAACAAACTCCTGGCAATTGTGTTACCTGGACAGAAAGGTAATCCTGTGCAGGGCTGGCTGTCTGTGTTGGAACCTGGGCAGTTGTTGCCACGTGGCACCACAGATGGCGGAGGGTTTGTACAGGTCCTATGGCGCTGCTGTTCAGGGGGTGGGAAGCCCTCATCCTGACATGTTCCCATACAAGGACCCCAGCTACCCCATAAAGACCAGCTGCCATGAACTGGGGATAAAATCACAGAATCTGTTAAATGGCAGTGTTACAACAGTAGTAAAGCGACTTCTCTAACTGCTGCATCTGAAACTTATAGACGATTTAATCGACTATAATCGATTCATTAATTTTGCCGGTGCAAGTTTCCTTGTATTAAGTGAAAAAGAAGCAACGGCTCATTTGGCTTCTATTACACGTTTGTTTTGAGTCATTGGGTTTTCCGTTCTATTCTAAGTTCAGGAAACATACATGAATTATTGTTATTATTACACTACAGATGCTGCAGATATAGACTGAGTTGAAAAATGCTGGAATATTCCTTTAATGTGCATTGTTGTAGTATGATGATGAATAAAAACTGTCACTGAGAAAAATGCTGTGTACTTGGGCAGACGATCCCTGTGTCACAACGTATAGTTTCTTCACTGTCGCCAAGACAAGAGCCACCACATTTGGGAGGGGGTTCGGTGCACTTCCTGTTCCTCTTTTTGATTCCGCTTTCACATGTAACAGAACATGGAAACCATGAGCTCCACTCTGTCCATCCTCCATTTTCTTAAAAAAAAAACAAGAAATTGAGAAACGGTCATTAGCAGCCTCACTTTGAAAGGTTATTAACTCCAGGTGTAACAATACACAATTTTCACATCACTGGGAATGCACAACTGGAGTTGGCCAAGATTGGAACTGTGATCAGAACTTTTGCTCCAAACCCGCAGTCAGCAGTCAGCCAATCTATTGTCTTGATGTTGACCTGTGTTTATGATGTAAATAAGGTGCACTTGCACTATACTGAATACTGCTGATGGACTTGGAACAAAATGTTGTAGCATAATTTTGCATGACTCAACATGTTCCATAGCCAGTTGCCTTTTACTTACAATGTGGTGTTTTATTTGCACTATATTATTTAAATAGATGAATGATTTTTCATTTAAAGCATCTATATCCATTTTATTTTCTTCCCTGAGACCTACTAAAGTTTGTTTTGGATTCATGTACCAAAAACAGTCATAATTAATTTTTACATGATCACTTTTCAACCTATCCCCTAGAATTAAACAGGCTGTGTCTTTAACTGTATATGGCATGAATTATTACTTAAACATGATAAAAAAATGTGTTTTTTCAAATGTTTGAATGTGTTTTTTGTTATTTAAAATTGCTTAAATAATGGACAGATTTGAAAAAAATGTAATTTTTTTAAGGGGAGTGGTTGGTAAATTGTTGCCATATGGCAACAACGCACAATTGTGGAACGTTCCATAAAATTTATTTAATTTAGTTAAATTCAAGTTACATGAACCTGTAATAGGACATGGGACATCATTTTCTCGATCAAAAACAAATGTATTTCCTATTTAAGTTAATTATTGTCATTCAATATTATTTAATCTCATTAGTCATCAGCAAAATGTTTATGTCTAGAAATGTACACAAAAGTGGACTAACATATAATTTGGGTGGGATATCACAGTTCCTTCTGTTAAAACTATAATTTCCAGTGGGGTAATTTATAATCCAGATAATACATAACTGTAACAAAATGTCTGAAATTACAAAATACAAATAAAAATAATGTTTTTTCATTAAATGTAATCAAAAGTTGTTGAAATAGTCTCAGAGTAGCCTAGTGCTATGTGAGTCAATTATAGTCCAATAGGTTGAATGCCCACAGATCACTTCCATATTTGCAAACAGTTGCCATATGGCAACAAATGCATTTTACCTTTTTACAAAAACCTTATCACATCTAAACTGGTTTTAATGATGAAAAGTTATCTTCCCCCAGATAGTATTTAATTTTCGCCTGGAAGGAATTTTGCCTAAATGTTGAACAATTAGTCAGCTTTGGGAGCCCTCAGGTCATGACCTTCTCAGTGTCAACTGTCCATGGAAAAGGGGAGTGCAAACAAGATTTCCTGTCACGTGATGTCATCAAGTCTTTGTCCTTTCTAAAGTAAAAGACACTTTTTCCACAATTAAACAGTAAAACCTGAATTTAATATTACTGCCATTTAGTAAAATTGAGATAAAGTAACTGCTGCCTAATGGCAACACCATGAAATAGAGGGTTAAGACTGATATATATGTAAATGATCTCTGTTGTCATTGCTGTCCTGTATTGTGCCTCATACAAAAAGCAGTCCAGGCTTAAATACTCCTTATAACTTCAGGGTGAATGAGTGGGACTAAACTGCTATAGGCTGGATAGGAGAATATATGTAAATGTGTTATTTTTTTTGAAGACATCATGAAAACAATTAATTAAATTAGGTTGTTTTTCAGCGTAGTTTCCATATGTGGACTGCGGAGAGAATAGTACATTTTAAAACTTGCTTAAATACTGTATTAAACACTTTTATTTGAAAAGTGATGATTGAAGTAATGTTATTTATATTGCTAATAGAAGGTACTGTAAACACAGTACTTCATATTACACATTGTGTTTCTTGTGTTCACACAGTATGAGCTTTGGGTAAGAAAAATAAGGGCTGATACTGCAGCACAATACTATGCATTTTCAATACAAAAGTGAAATAAACAGACTACAGCACAGAGTGGAAGCATAATTAATACAAACAAGCAATTTTCTTAAAATACAAATAAATGTCAATAAGTGTAAATGATACAGCACAATGGCTTCAGGTGCAACATAGGGGATGTTTTTTTTCATACTTTTTAATTTCGATCTCTCTCAGAAATGTCATGAAATTTCATTACTAGAACAGTGGAAACTATGCCAGTTTACGTCAGTATGTCCTATATCACAAATATTTTTCTAATACAAGATCAAACTATATTTGTTTCACAGTTGTCTTGCAAGCGTCATATCAGGAAAAATGAATACTAATCATATCATATTGTAACACCTCTAATAACTGTAAATAAAGCTTGTGTGGGTTCATGTTCGACTAACTGCTATGAAAATAATATGCAAGCTATGTAGTCATTAAGTGATGAACTGAAATGTGGATCCACATATGGGATTTCAGGGTAGCTAAACAGTTAAAAAATGCCTACTGTCCTGTTCCATACACAAGCCCATTTCCTTACCTGGACAGCAGACCCTGTCTACACATGGTTTAGTTTGGACGCTCCCTTTCCTGGAAAGATCTTGGCACCTCCCAAAGCCATAGCAAGCACGTCGTCTCTGCTGCACTCCATCCTTACAACTCACTGAGCACTCGCTCCAAGCAGACCATTCAGTCCATTGAGCAAATCTGTAGAGAAACATTTTTAAAAGTGTTTTCATAAAGTGATGTGCATATTTCTTGCTTGTGCTTTTTTATGAACCTAGTAGGTTAAGTAATGTGTAATGTTCAATGTGCACACAACTAATATCATGATGATACAACTCCATTAGCAACACTTTACTAACCATGTAGTACCACAGCTACCACCTAGCATTGCACCAGCTACCAGCTAGCAACACTCTAATAACCATTTGTGGTATCACACCAACCACTTGCAATACCCTAGCAACCACCTGGAAAACTATAGCATGGGAAGGTGTATGATTTACAAAACTGGACAGACATAGATTTTTGTTTTTATAGGTGAGCAAGAAAGTCAACAGTTTAAATGTGTTTCACTGCATTTTTTTATTGTAGCAGTTGTGCATGATTTCTGTTTGGACATAAAGAAAGCTGTATTTGTGCTGTCTATTTTATCTGTCATGGCTGTTTTATGTAGAGGTGTGAACTGTTTTCACAGCAAGGGGTTCTCACCCACACGCTGACCCCTCATTGCTCGCTAGCAGTTCAACACAGAGTCACATTTCACATGCAGAGCCAACAGTGTCCCAGTTGCTGATATGGCAATTAGGTGATGAAACTTGAATAATGTTATGGGGAAAAATAGCTATATTGATTAAAATATCTGAATCAATTTTTATTCTGCTGAAAGAATGGCCAGTAGGGGCCTGAAAAAAGAGGCTACAACACTGTGGATGATTCTCACATATTTAGCCAATTTCATGCATGTGTTACTTAAGAACTAGGTATGAATTATGGCTAATTATACATTCTGTTAGAATTCTTCTGTCTGTCATGTGACTCCATCAGCCAATCACAAGCCACCAAGCAGATCCCACCTGAAAATTAATTACAACCACCTGTGTTTCCTTGCATATAAGCCTGTCTATTTGCACCATGTCTTTGCGAAATATTGCCCCTGTTCTGTCAGTGCAAGCAGAGCTGTTCTTTGTTAGTTAGCTGTCCTGTTTATGACCTTGCTTTGTTTCCTTATTGCTTATTCTTGGATTTGTACTTTTAGCTTAGTCCACCTGTGTGTTTGCTTTTTGGTTACGACCCTCACTTGTTTAGCTGACTCTGTTAACGTCTTCCATGTATTGTGTTTGATTAATCTGGTTTCTAACCTGGTCTGGTGTTAACCCTGTTACTTCAGTTCATTCTCCTTTTAATAAACATTACGCTTTATCTTTTACCCACGAGTACAGAATTTTAAAAAGCTTTGTTTTGTTGACGTTTTGCATTAATTCTTTATCCTCAAATAATGCAACTCATTTCTAGAACATTGTGCTAAACACTGACAATTACAACAGTATTAGTGGGAACCAATCTTGACCAAAGGTTTATTTGTAAGAATATTTATCAGCCATTAAGGCAAACATATATAAAGAGGCTCAAGATGTAGCTTTTGAATTAGGTCAGGACTTACCTACAGGACTTGCAAACTCCACCTTCCTGATAAGCATACTTAGGGTTCATACAGCAGTCGTCAATTGTCACTTCTCCCAAAACATCACTGCAGGTTCCATCAGTCAGAGAAAAGTTAGCATAGCACTGCGCCATCTGGGAGACTGAGAAACAAGAACAAAGGTGAGCTTACCGACGTTTCTGTTCATTAATACACCATATATATATATATATATATATATATATATATATATATATATGTATATATATATATATGTTTTTGTTCTTTTCCAACTTGTATAACTAAGCAAATAAATAGAAATTGTGCAGTAAAATGTGCAGTGTTCAAACTGCATATGACATAAATTGAATACTTGCGTAAGTCTTGCACACTGGGTGTAGGATATCAGAAGATGAATACGAATATAACAGTAATACCAACCTGTTGGCTGAATATGAAGCACCAGGAGGAGTATCATGCACAGCATGATCGTCTTCATTGTTGCCTACAAAGATCTGAAGTCTTGATATTCCAGCTCCTGTATAGTTACAAAGAAAATGATCAAAATGATTGTAAATGCACAATGAGCAAGGTGTAAGATAAACCACTGATTCATTCACTATCGCATTTCATGAACTCTCCTTATTCTTTCTCTAACTTCAATACCTGCCCTGATGTCTCCTGGTCTGAGGATAGTTTAATAGTAATAGCTTTCCCTTCTCATGACCTTTGTCTTTAGAGGCTGAAAAGACCAATCAGAATGGCCAAAAAAAAACAACCAACTGAGCAATGCCACTATTCCTTATTTGGGGTACATTTTTGCTGAGTAATCAAAATGTGTCAATCATGCAGCAGTTTGCTGAAGTTTCACTTGCCCTTTTGTTTGACCATTGCATTGCTGTTTTGTAGTAGCTCTGAGTAACTGTAACTGTAAAGGGAATATATTTTGATATGAAGCTGTAAAACATACTATTATTGTTTTGTGATGCGTTTTTGCCCATTCAAAACAAATTTCATTTTTCAAAACATATTTCATAAGTTCTCCAAAGTCTTCTGGTTTAGTAAATATAAAATGTCAACACAAAAGCTCTTAAATGATTGCCTTAAATTATATCTGTTGACTTTTCATACTGCAGATTCCCGTAAGGCCAGTGAACTGTATTTGCACCTGTGACGCCAGCATGTTGGATGTTTACCACAGTTTAACCAAACAGTTCAACATGGAAGAGGCCTGTTTTAGAACCTTCTTTGTGTCTGTATAAACATGACGGCAGAATGTTAAATTGTGTACTGTTAAATTGGCTTTGTCTGCTATGAAACTGTTATATCACATGTGCACATTTTGATTGGTCATTCAAGGGTCAGTCTGAAAGATTAATGAATGCATGTCTTGGCTCAAGTTCAGCTTTGAACCTGGATGGAGGAGGACACCGTAAACAAAAAGAGCGAATGAGGAAAGAACTGGATTTTTTTTAGATGACTGGCCTCATTTTTTAGATGATGCCTCATATTTTTAGACTGAACACAAAGGAACCCGCCACACTGAAACGGGTGATGCACTGAATTTTTGTTCTTGTTTCAAATGTTTACATCGTTTCCACATGAATTACAGTGCAGTTTTGTCTTTCACTTTACTTGCTGCTGGCAATAATTGCTATATTCCATTAATGAGGAGATGATGTACAGTAGCATGCAAAAGTTTGAACATGGTTAAATGACATGTTTTGTTGATTTTTTTAAACGACAATAGGTCAGCACACCCTCTACACAGAACACATTTAAATATGTAACTTCTCTGCACAATCTCTATTTAGTTTGTTGAAAAAATATAACATAAAATATAAAATATATCATAAGTTTTCGCAATTTTTATGTTTTTTTTTTTCCGTATTTTTTCCAACAGTAAATGTATATTAAGATGTGCAGGACTGTGTTCTCTGTAGAGGCTGTGTTTACTTACCTTCACTTAGAAAATCAATAAAACAAGTCAACCTGGTCAAAATACATGGTTTGTTGATTTTCTAAGTGAAAGTAAGTTCACTCTATAGAGAACATGTTTGAATATGTTTTATTTATGTACTTAAACTCAGCACATCAATAGAAATTGTGCCTTAAAATGTGCAGAAACATAGCCACATTTAGGTGGATATGTTATTGTCTCTTAGAAAACCAAACCAACAAAAAAGTAGTTTGACTGGGGGTGTTCAAATTTTTGCATTCGACTTTAGCACTGATATTTCTTGTATGTGTAAGGCTCACTACCAACAACATGGATCATCAAAAACAGGAAAATACATTGTGGAACAAAACTAAATGTATATATCATTACAGTATCTATGTTGTTGCTGCTGGTGAATCTTCTCAATCTAACTTGATGGCGAGAAGACCTAAAAGTGAATATATCAATGGAGGAAATGGAGGAGGCGTGTAGTAAGGCCCAAAAACACACAGTTAATACTCATGTGAAAATACTTCAGTATAATTTGCTAATGTGAACTTACACATAAAAGCCAGAAAAGCTAAACAAATTCAATAGTAATATTCCAGGTACCGCTATAAAGTGTGGAAAAGCCAGGGGGATACTGTGGCATTGTATAGGGGACTTCAAGAAAATTACAAAGTTCTGGGCAAAAATGAAAAATATGATTGAAAACATTATATAATTCTTAACTAAAACCCCAAATTGTGCTATTTTAACTTGTATCCCCATAATAACTCACCCAAACAAGGAACAAATTCTAATAAATACATATTTGTTCCAAGTTAAAAGATTAATTCCCCACTCACAGAAGAATATACATAGACCTCAAGTGGGAAAATGGTTCTGCAAGTCTACTTTTTCGAAAGTATTTCAGAAAAAAGTGACATCCTTTTATTTATTTTGTTGAAAAAAATTCACTGAACATTTTACTCAGGGGAATGAATAATTTTTATGCTTTTGGAAGTCAATGATTATACTGCCATGCTGTATACAATGCTGTAGCATCTGTGTAAAACCAATATAAAATTACATCGGAAAGAGCTCTTGGGACTTTTTTGTTTTGTTGGCTTGTTTGTTTTGTAAATGTGCTGCAAACTATATCATATTGTAAAATGTTGTAATTTAATGTGTGCTTAATGTAAACCAAATAAATATGATGTAACAAAATACATACTACAAAATACTCACAATAGTGATGTACAACAACTGTGCTGAGCATTTTTAGGAGGAAACTTTAAAACGTAGGGCATAAAGTTTTATTGGGTATGACAGGAAATCAAGAACAATTATATACAGTTGCATGCAAAGGTTTGGGTACACCTGGTCAAATTAGGTTGGTTGATTTTCTAAATCACAGGAAGGAGCTTTAGGCCCTGTTTACACTTAACATGAAAATGCATCCCATATCTGTGTTTGTGATGGGAAAGTATTAAGTGAAATTAACACTGGCAGATAAATTTGCCTTTTTCAAGCATATTTCCTAAAACAAGTAGAACTGCCTATATAGTGAGATTTCTCTTAATAATTTAAGTTAATAAATGACTTTTTAAAAAGCAAAAAATGCATATAAATATTTGTTAAAGGCCTTCCCAATGGAAAACCAAAATTCCCCTGCTTTTTTTTAAATAAATGCTGGTGCAGTATGTAAACATTAACGTTAAAGTTTCAAAACGTACCATTTTGGATTCATCACTACAGCAGTTCAGCCCCACCCATTTTCACTGAAGTTATAAAGAGTGTTTCAGCCTGGATTGATTTTTGAATAAAGCATAATACCAGACTTAAAGGTACAGTGGTGTTAATCTTAAAGCCAGAAACAAGCCTGGTAAATTATAAGGGATTAAGAGAGGCTGGAAAATGGTCACATAAAAAAGAATTACTACTGTTTTTGGTACATAAACCCACACATGCATAAGTGGACCATAAGTGGAAGAATATAGGGTATTTTATAACGTTCTCAAAATGGGAAATGTTAGAAATATCAACTAGATTTAAGATTTCACTTGCCAAGATATCACTTTTTGCAGTGTAGATAGTTGCACCACTTGAGATCCCAGAGTCTCAACTGATTTAAAAATGTGTCTCCAGACAGCCCCATTCCTACCTTTAGCCCAGAGCCCCACAATCACTAAATCCGCCTCTTGTAGTTGGATCTGTATGTGGTAAAATGTTACTCTTTGACACCCTTTTGACACCCCTGTTCCACACCATGACGGGTCCACACCCAACCAAACTGCAGCACAGTATTTCAAAATAAGAAACCTTTGCTTGCATTGACTACATAAACTATCAGCTGAAACCTTCCAAGACGTGTAGAAGCAGTGTTGTCTGGGTTATAGCACCATCTACTGTCTGTACTTTGTTCTGATTGTTGTGTTAAATTTAAGCCACAGGCTCCTCTAGGAGTTTTAGGCTGAATCTCAAATGGCTCCCTACTCCCTATATAGTGCACTACATAGGTCACAAAAGTGTGGCTTTTACAGTCAAATAGTGCATTAAATGTCTGATAGGGAGACATGAAGCCTATTGCTGAATCCCAAATGTATCTCCTGGACATTTGATGTACGATTTAGGTGTAGAAGCCATCATTTCATGACTATGCAGTGCACTATATAGGGAGTAGGGAGCTGTTTGAGATTCACCCTTTGTGCTTTCCCTCCTCTAATAGAACCAGTTTAACTTAGAAAGAGCTTGTTAATCAGTCGATGAGTCAAATGAGGCGTGTTGAGAGCAGGGAAAGCACTAAAATGTGGATAAAACCTAAAACTGAATCACTGATCTAAGCTAATAAAAAAAAATTCACTTGTGCAAGACTGAACACACACCACAAAGACTAACTTAGTAACCTAATACTATAATGGCAGTTATGCCTGGTATGAGCAGAGCCTGTAGAGCAAGGGTTAAATTTAGAGCAGTGTTTCTCAACTTCAATTCCAGAGGCCTTGTTTAAGGTCAGTTTTTCCAGCTGCAACACACCTGATTCAGCTCATAAAGGACTTGAGCATAGATAACAGTGAGACAGATGTGAGAGAGACAGCGCACATACACAGTCGCATGCAAAGGTTTAGGCGCCCCTGGGCAAATGACATTTTGTTGATTTTCTAAGTGAAAATAGGTGCACATTCTCTATGAAGACCATACTTTTGCACGTTTTAATGCACAATTACTGTTTATTTGCTGAATTTAACATACTGGGAAAAATAAAACATAAAATGTAGCCTGTGCAAAAGTTATGGCACATTGTCTATTTTATGTTTTACATTTTATGTTTTATATGTTATATTTTAGTTTAGTGCCAACATAATGGGAAAAAATAGCATAAAAGCATTGTGCACTAAACTCGAAGACAATGCCATATTTAAGTTTCTTCTCTTGAGATATAACTTGAAGTAGTTCTTTTAAAATGGGTAGGTAGTATTGAAATTCTAATTATTACATTATTGAATGACATGGATGTTACATAATTAAATTCTTAATAGTAAAAAAGGAAGTGTTACTTATTTACATTTAGTTCTTACACATATCAGTGTAAAACATTTTTAGTCTGAAATGTAATAATTTAATGTGAACAATTCAATTCAATAATCAGAATTCCATTTGAATATGTAATAATTTCAGTTTCATCATTTTAAATTTAGTTTTTCACTTGTGAAAACTGAAATATCACATAAAAATCAAATTCATACCAGTAGATTGTTCCTTCCATTAAAGTGAACTGAGAAAAGCCGTTCTTACTACAGAGAACTGAATTATTATATACTTAAATAACATACAATTCCTTTTCCAATTCCTATTATTATGTTAAAATAGAATTAAACATTTTGAATTCCCTATTTTTACTAATACAAACAACTCTTTGTCCTTGTTCAAACTGAATGTCTGATATCAGAAAATGTAGAATAAATGGATTAAAAACATGTTTCTTTTGGCTTTATTGAGTTCATATATTCAGTTTCCTGAGAAATCCTGCTCTGTGAAGCCTGTTTCTGCCACTGAAGAAAATATGTAGCCATTTAGTGAGTCTAAACAATTAGAACATTTTCCATAATTATGACTTAGTATCTTAGAACAATGACTTAGTGTTTCATAATAATGAGAAAGTTTCTTATAATTGTGAGAATGTAAGGCAAAACTATGAGATGTCACAATTCTGAGATACTAAGTAATAATTTTGACATACTAAGTCATTGTTATGAGACACTAAATCATAATTATGAGAAGGTAAGTCATAATTATAAAATGCAAAGTCAGAATTATGATAAATTAATCAATAATTATGAGATACCAAGTCTTAACTACGACACAGTCATTATTATGAGATGCTAAGTCATAATTATGAAATACTAAGTAATAATTATGAGAATGTACATCATAATTATGAAATGCAGTGATAATTATGATACATTATGTAATAATTATGAGATTCTAAGTCAGAATTATGAGATGCCAAGTCATAACTATGACACAGTCATTATTATGAGATGTTAAGTCATAATTACGAGTTAGTACGTCGTAATTATGACATAGTAAGTCATTATAATGAGATGCTAAGTCATAATTACGAGATTTAATGTCATAATTATGAGACTGGATCTTATTATTATGAGATACTAAGTCACAAATATGTGAAAGTAAGTTATAATTATGCGATGCTACGTCATAATTATGAAATACTACGTCATATTTACGATATGCTATGTCATAATTATGAAGGACCAAGGCACAATTATGGAAATGTTTCTCTTTATTAATATTTACTAAACGGCTATACATATTTTTCACAGTTCACACCTTGTCTAAGCAAACGCGTGAGATTCCCATAAAAGAATGCTTTAAAACCGGCCTTATAAACACTCCCACTCGCAGCACGTATCACTCACGCCACGCTTGACGCACTGTGGGTCTGTGTGGTTTTGCTGTCAATCCGGAGGAATAACCAGAGCTGGCGGTAGATTTGCCGAAAAACATCCGCCAAAGTTTGCTAGAGCACATTATAGACGTGTTTATTGGACTGTTCTAACAACATCTTAATCCGCGTACTAAACAAAACGACAGAAATAGCATAATATTTGAAATGTTTTAGGTTTTTACGTCTGACAGGACGACGCGCATTAGCTAGCTTAGCTAGCTAGCTAACACACATTAGCTAGTTGGCTACCATGTAACGTTAATGAGAGAATCAGATACGCCGGACTGATGTGTCAGACAACAGGAATATAGCTAAAGGATTAAACTAAGTTAGCTATTGTCTGACCATGCAATCGGCACGTATAGGAGACCACTGCTTGGAAATAGTTGATATTTACAAAAGAGGACGAAAGTTGGTGGTCACTCATCATCCTTCGTCCTGGGAACCTTAAAAACTAGCTCATAAAGCACAAGAGCAGGTACGTATGGGGTAACTTACTGACTACGGATGGCTGTTTGTGTTCGTTTAAGATAAGCGAAATAAGTGAGATAAGGGTAAAACTACGTTTAGGCTTTGTCGAAAAACTAAACTATCACGTTAGTTTGTTTAACTTGGCTGCTGTCTCACTGACAGGTTATGCATAGCTACAGCTAACATTATCTGAGTTTGACAACACAATGTTAACTAGCCTAGCTAGGCTGCTCCCTAACAGAAACTATGACAAATAACACAAGACACTTTTCCGCAGACTTGATTTGTTCTGAGTTTGCGTCACCGGTTTCTGGTTTGCGCCAGGCATTCAGCCAGCTATGTGAGCCACTTAGGTTATATTTTGTAGGTAAAACCAGCTTGTGCTCAATAAAACAAACGTTAGCTGGCTAGCTGTTTGGCTAACCAGCTGTTTCCCAGTATTAAAGAAGTAGCGAAATTGATACTACAGACTCAGCAGAAGCAGCATGTTATCAGTGAGTTTGCCCTTGTTGAGTCTAAATATGACAAATGTTTAGTGACCTTCAGCGTTTCAGCCGTTACATGTCAATACATGTTACCGTTTACAACTAGCTATCATGTTCGTGCTAGCTTAAAAGCCAACGTCGGTGACTTTTGGTGCAAGCTGGGGCTAGTAGCGTTATGTTTGAAGGGTTGTTCTCTATACTGGACTCTGTAACTTGGTTAAGCTGTGTCATTTAAAGAAAGAGTCAGGGATGGCTAAGCAACAACAACATGGCAGCCCTGCTACTTATATTTTTTTAACAGTGAAGAAAGGTTGCCCTCATGGAGTTAGACGTCTCAGATTGCAGGAACCAGCTATACATAAAGAGTACCATTTAAAAGCTTTTACTTAAGTCAGAATAAGATATTTACATGGCGCAGTGACTGGTAATCGGTGTGACTAGGACTGTACAGTACATTTCTCATAAACACTTGTTTGTTGCTTTAAAGCTCAAATGTTGTTTATGTTGTGTGAAGAAGTCAGCCAGCGCAAGTTATCCTTGTCATTTTTTGTATTTTAAAGTGGATTGGCCACGCTGATTGTAGAATTGAATACTTTGAAGTACATTTACCCCAGTCAGCAATCTATTAATACAGGCTGTATAAACTATAATCAGAGACAGGCATATAGACCATATGAGAGAGAATATGCAGGTTGTATAGTTTGTTTGTGATTTAATTGTTATGCTTAATATGCATAGGGTTATTAATTGCTGCACCATATGTTACATGGATGAAATAATAATATATAATATAATAGTAATTATGACTATGCCAAAATAGCAGCCCATCTAATGAAATATGAACAATACAATAGTATAATAACGGGTTTGTAAAATTGTAAATGAGAGCTTGGGTCAAATAGTGTGCCGATCAGGCTTATCAGTATCAGCTCATGACTTCAGCGTGCTGCTGTGGTTTTCAAAAAATGCCACGCTGCCCTAGAAACTGTACTTTTGAGGCAAAGCAAAACAATAAGAAGCTTAGCCACAGGCATATTCTTGTCATTTTCACAAAGACCTATAGAATTCCTCTTTGTGGGCGACTGATTGAATTCTTCAGGAAACTTTGGTGTAGTTACAGTTACAGGGAACTGGCATAACTGGTTACTGACAAGTCCCAACAGTTTTTCTGAGCTTCTACTCTGTATGTACTTTATGCACCTGATGACCTTGTATTTCCTTTTTCTGTATGTCAAAACGCTGGGATACATGCTTTTGAAAGGAATTTCCAGTATGGGTGTTATGTATGGACACATTATTCATGACCACATGATAATACTCTTATCAGAAAAGCCATGGAGTGCAAACTGTTCTCTGTCTGCTTTCAACTTCCATTCTTTTCATGGCTTGTTATTGATTTATTCCATATCTAGAGCGGTTAAAGATGTGACCTCATTCAGCTGTGCAGCTACTCTGTTTCCTTTAATGTGACATCAGTGGATCAAATCTTCAGATTATCCATCAGTCTTGACCTCTTTCATACATGTGGTTGCAGTGAAACTCTTACATAAACGAACCATAGTGGGTGGGCACAACAGAGATGTCAGTCAGTATAGTTAGTTACTAGAGAAACTAGTCTGATGCATTTGATTGCTCTGGGAGCTACCTGACAAAGTTATTACATAAAGTAGTTATTAAATCATTTTACGATAGTTTAATTTAAGGTTTTGGTCCAAAATACATATATGGCAAAGAGGTACATGCTGGAATTCCCTTTTAACTAGTCTAGAATAAGCACCACTTTAGAAAGAATATTCATTAGGAAATAACCGAAGCACTCGTGCTAACAGCAGAAACGTTTTGATTAAAATCTAGGCAATAAGCCAGTGTCTATGTTTGTGTCAATTGAGGAGATTGTGGACTATGAGTATTTACCACAGAAACAATTGCACTTACCTATTAAATTGTCATTTTAAAACTTTTAATACTTCGTTAACCCCTTAAAACCCCAGGCTTATTACGTAGTACAGCTTATTATGCAGTAACTACATGGACTACAATGCAAACTACACTCTTAAAAATGATGGTTCTTCAAGGGTTCTTTAGTAAAGAAAATGGTTCCATATAGATCCGTGAACACTCAAAGAACCTTTTGCATAATCAGGTGGTTCTTTACATTGTAAAAGCGTTGATGGAGAACCTTTTTGAAAAGAGCTCTACATAGCACCAAAAGGGCTCTTCTATCCTTACAAGTTTGACATTATAACAGTAGAAGAACCCTTTTGTGTGCTGCTTAAAATCCTCACCAAAAAGGCTCCAAGTAGAACCACGTACAACACATTCTCCGTCAGTCTGAAGAACCATTTAACGATGCAAAGAACCCTCTAATCATGCAAAGGGCTCTTTGAGCGTTCATGGTTCTATATGGAAACATTTTCTTTACTAAAGAACCCTTAAAGAACCATCTTTTTGGTTCTTTGGTTCAAGTGTGCAGCTCCACTGTTCTTATGTTATAGAAGTGTGTGGTAAAACATTGGGCCTGCCGGTGGGCCCTGGCCATTTAAGGGGTTAATATCATTACAGCTAAGCTTCAGGCCTAATCATTATACTAATAACAGCACACTGATTTAATCTAAACTGCTAATAAAAGGAATGATTTAAAAATTAGTTGGATTAATAATAATATGCTCCCTTAAGCATGAGGCCCTTTAAATCTTGGACAGTGAGATTGCAATGACTCATTTATTTTCTCATGTCGTGGAAACTACCTTATTTACTCCATCTGTCTTCTTCGCTCCCCTTTTTTCCAGTAGATGGTGGAAAAACAAACGTCAACAAGCTCACACCATTTCATTATTAAAAGGTTGAGTTTGTCTAGTGTTACTCTCTTTATCAGTGATTGTTGTGCTGCCACTGTTTTGCTAAACAAAACACCACCTCCACGGTGTAGAAGGTGCCTGCCTTCTGCACCATGAGTGCCAAAAGGTTGTGAATGCACAAGGCCATTTTTTTTAATAGTAATATTAGATACAACTGAAAGAGAAAGTGGAATGAATTCTGTTTATTTATGAATAAATTCTTGTTCTCCAGTTTCTGAAGTGCAGATGTTGTACTGTTCTCATAATATGCGTCATGGTTTCAGGAGTAATGTTCTTAGCACCCTTGAATTTGCAAAGATCTGCATTACTCAAACGCAGCTTCATTGTGACAGGCAGATGTTACAGACAAATATTAATAAAAGTCACATGGACACTGTTGAGGTTTATAGCAGTGATTTAAGTGAGGTTAGTTTGGTGGGTGAAATGCTTTATATATGACAGGTGGTACCTCTTAAGTGATCTTTTGATGATGGCATGACAGCAGTCGCACTCAGAACTGAACTGATTATTATATAATCCTTTTTTATATATATTATATATATATATATATATTAATAGTTCATTCTGGATGGGGCTCACAATCGATTACATTAGTAATCATGTAATGTACCAAGTATTCTGACGATTAATCAAGTGCTTTTTAGGTCAAGCAGTAAAAATGGGCTTAATTGAACAGTAATGTACTGTGCAGAGCATATTAAAGATTCCAATTTGTTGTACTGAAAAAGATTAAAAAAAAAAATCACAAAAAATGCATTTAAAATTTCCACTGTGACAAGCCTCGGTGCTGTGGGTCTGAGAGGGTGTATAACAAGAAGCCATTACTGAGGAAAAAAAAGGAGGGAAGAAAGAAGAAAATTTGCAAAGTTCTCAACATTATTGAATGTGTTGGGGATTATTTGGATTGTGAGAAGCAGGACACACAACAAGCTTCTAAGGCTGAACTTGAGGTGTGCAAAAAATGTCCTCCTTTGAAAAAACTGAAAGCAAAGCTTGTGAAGAAATGGACGTTGTGGGAAAGGCAAAGGATGGACACACTAAATACTGAAAATTGTGACATTATATTTAGCTCGAGGCTTTTTTTTAATTCTGCTAAATTATTTTTTTTCTTTTTTCACTGATGTTGAAAAATGAATAACTTGTACTTAATGGCTGTTTTGACTGGAAGTTAAATAAATGAGGAGTTATTTCTGACTTTTGCACAGAACTGTACAACTATAAATATTGTCAGTCATGGCTTACAGATTTCCATGTACTGAATGCAGAGGACACCCTTGTTCCTGCTGCAACATATCATTTATTTTTATGGATGTTTTGAGATTTTTTAGGCTGTTTAGGCTAACCACTTTCATAGCCTTTCCAGTAACTGTATTTAGTTATTTAATTGTTATGGCAGGCTGGTTTGTGCACCAGTTGGCTGTGAATAGTAATTCTGCTGCAGGGAAAGTCATTCGTAGTACTCTCTTATGGGCCTACAGATATCTGTGTCTCATTTTGTGACACTACATTATTGTTTTTGCAAATGATGTAACAAATTACTAGTTAACAAACTGCCATATTAGTTGTTGGAGTTTTATTTTGAAACAAATGGTAGCTTTATCTTGAGACTTTTGAAATATGCAAGTTAATGATTTTTTTTTTGTCTGTTAGGGTGGCCATAATAGCCATATGATGGATGGTTATGAACTTTAGCAGGCAGACAGAAAGCCATGGAGGAGGTTGAGCAAGCTACTTCTGAGGTGAAGACTGAACCCCTGGCTGAGCTGACCGTGGTGCAGGGGGCCATGGCATTAACTGAGCTTCTGGAAGGTGAGCAGTCTCCCCAGCATGACCTCAGCTTTCCTCATGTCAATGAAGACACATCCTGGTTAATGGTTCATGAAGGAGAGTCAACCTCCTCTGACTGTGGAGGAACATCAGACCTTCAGGAGTTAGGTTCTGCCTCAGGCGAGGAAGGAGAAGGAGAAGGCAGTGAGGTCTCGGACACACTAGGGACAGGAGTATCACCCATCAGCAAGGGATCATGGGAAACAAGTCTTCAGAATGGGGATGAAGTTGACAAGGATAAACAGCAGAATAGCAGCCCTCCTGTAACAGGCAGCACATTCCCAGGTAAAGAGGTGTCCAGAAGGACTTGATGATGTCACATACACCACAATGATATGCCTTAACAAAATGAGATCTCATTTTCATAATGAAATCTCATAATGAATGCAACTGAAAACAATTGAATGCATAATGAAATCTCAGTTTTTACCACAATTTGATTTATTTTGGTACGATTAAGGATTATATTTGAACATAAGTTGATGCACTTAAGCTGTTGGAACTGTTTACACACTAGTCAGATTTAGATAATAAATATAACGCACCAGGCTTTTTAGGATTTAAAAATAGCTTAAGAAATCATTTTTGGCCAAAAAATAAGCACATACTTTGTTGAATAACATTCTAGTAGAATATACTGTGCTTATATTATGCTGTGTTATTCCACTGTGTACCAAAGAGGTACATTATTAAAAACATATTGCCAGTTAAGGAAATGAAAATAGGTCAATAAATGCACGTTTTGTTTTTCAAATATGTAAAAAGAATATTAATACAGTTCTTTTGTACAAATGACACATTGCCACTGCAGGATTTTGCTCACTTTAGAATGTCCATTAGAGTTGTTGCAGTATTTTTAATGTTTTTCTCTTTCTCAGACCCATCGGAGACCTCCTCTCTCTCGCTGTCTGATCAGTTGAGGTTGGGCCGGGATGACTCTGATGGTACAGTACTGAATGTGGAGTGCAGGATATGCGGGGACAAAGCTTCGGGTTTCCACTATGGTGTGCATGCCTGTGAGGGTTGCAAGGTACCTGTTTAATCTCCCTACTACTTAAAACAACTGAGGTACCAGCCTAATCTCTCAGTTGTCGATTACCACCAGAACACTTTGTATGCCCAGTTTTTCTTTAGGAAGGGCCGATGAAGGCTGTGAAGATGGCAGAATATTAGGTGAAAATCGCAAGATACATTCACAGAATATTTGGCTTAAAAATGGTTAGCAAGCCCAGCATTTGTAATGTGTGACTGCAGTCAGGCAGTGTGTATATTTGTTCGTATTGCCGGTGATAATAGCTTCAGAGTTCATAGTCTTGTGGTGCGAGACATGAGATTGAGAATGTAGTGAGAATGTCTGGTGACAACTATGAAAAATTTTGTCTGAAATGTGGGTGGGACCGTAGACTTATTAGTGTTGGTACAAACAGATTGTGAAATATCAAAACCAGCCCAATGATTTGTGAAGGTGGAGCTCAATGTAGGGACAGAGCCTGTTTATGGAGAGCCTGCTCGTTCTCCCATTATACCCAAAAACATGACTGCAAAATGCTAAAAGTACTGAAGTGAATGGAAGTGAATGGAGCTAAACAGCTAAACATGAAATATCAAATGTTTCTAGCCGTTTAAACCAGAACTGTCTTTAATTTTGGAAAGTAGAAGGATGTATTCCATTAAAAAAAATCTAAGAAACCCTACCAGGAAATATCTGTTTTTCTATGGCAAAAGGTTTCTGACAATAGGCTGCTTGCATTTCTGTGTTGGTTGGCATGCCGATTACCTCATTGGCTAAGTAGAGCCCTCTTTTTGTGGTGAAATTATCTGCAATTCAGCACTAGAAGTTTACAAGTTGTCCCCAGACTTGTGTGCTTGCTACAAGATCACGTCTAGCGCAAGACTACAGAGTTAACAGAATGATTAGTAGGTTATCCTCAGAGTAATGATAGGTTATCATGCTGCATTCCTGATAGATTTACTTGATTACAAAAGTGAATATTCAAAGATTCATATAGAAAAGTTAATACAGGAAAAATAATGTTGTGGTGTGGACAGAGGGAGCAACCACAGCCTATAAACAACTTTTAACAGAATGAGTATAATTTGAAGGTGATTTATGTTCATAATAAATTTAAGTCTGAAGTCTGTACAAACTTACTAACCCACACTGTGGTGTCACAAGTAGTTTGATGTGTACTATGTTTGTAATGTAGTAAGTGTAAGTGAACTGTGCAGACAGGTGTTTTTTGTATACCCGTACATTTGCATGTTTTTCTATTTGACAGGGATTTTTCAGACGCACCATTCGTATGAAGATAGAGTATGACCGTTGTGAGCGCACCTGCAAAATTCAAAAGAAGAGTCGCAATAAGTGCCAATATTGTCGCTTCCAGAAGTGCCTGGCTCTTGGCATGTCCCATGATGGTGAGAAATTTTCAGTCAAATAAGGATAATGAAATCTGTAGGGGAAAAAAGTGAGTTTGGCCATTGGTAAATTTTAAGAGGGGCTATGTTTAGCTTTGTTTTAGAATAATCTTTTGCTTCATATACTTTCTTTACATGTTTTGGAGATGTTAAGTACTGAAAATATAGTCATAGTGTTGGTCGCAGTGTGTACAAATGACAGACCCTTTAAGTTTCCCTTCATCATGTTATTATCTACCTGGTTGTTGCCAAATAGTTTTGAGGTAGGGAATGTGCTGGAAATCAAAATCTGCATGCAGATGATTTTAATCCTGTTTTTGTAATGCCACAGCTATTCGGTATGGGCGCATGCCTGAGGCAGAGAAGAAGAAGCTAGTGGCAGGGCTGCTGGCTGGAGAGAAGAGTCTGCTAAACCCTGGAGGCTCTGATCTCAAGACTTTGGCCAAGCACGTCAATACAGCCTACCTTAAGAATCTCAGCATGACCAAGAAAAAAGCACGAAGCATCCTCACTGGCAAGACCAGCTGCACACCGGTATTTTAACCTTTTGTGTTCATTGGGTGTAGAACTAATTTAATTGTTATTTGTAGCTTGTTTTGTGTGTGTGTGTGTGTGTGTGTGTGTGTGATTAAACATTTGACTGTGTTAAGAATTTGACTTTACATGATGAGATACTGATAAATGTTATGTTATACGGGTTCCTGTTTAGTAGCAGTATAATTTAACTTGAGTCTATATGGGCAACCACCTCAGAATACGTGCTGATCATCGTCATTTTTTTTTTTTCTTGTGGCATTGGCTAATTTCAATCTTCCTCTGCCTGCAGCCCTTTGTGATTCATGATATGGACTCTTTGTGGCAAGCTGAGAACGGCTTAGTCTGGAACCAGTTGAATGGTGCACCCCCAAACAAAGAAATTGGAGTCCATGTTTTTTACCGCTGCCAGTGCACCACAGTGGAAACCGTTCGAGAGCTCACAGAATTTGCCAAAAACATCCCTGGCTTTATAGATCTCTACCTCAATGATCAGGTATAAATAGTGTAGTAGTTCTTGCCCATCATGGGTCTAGGTGTTACAGAAGAACGTAAACAGAATTCATGGTACATTGTTTAACCTTTTTTTTTCCCCCTGGCACTTAATGTATTCCCTGTCCTTCTCATTTTTCAGGTAACCCTGTTAAAGTATGGTGTCCATGAGGCTATTTTTGCAATGCTGCCATCCCTAATGAATAAAGATGGACTTCTGGTAGCCAATGGGAAGGGCTTTGTGACAAGAGAGTTTTTACGTAGTCTACGTAAACCCTTCAGTGAAATTATGGAGCCCAAGTTTGAGTTTGCTGTGAAGTTCAACGCCCTGGAGCTGGATGACAGTGACCTGGCTTTGTTTGTGGCGTCTATCATATTGTGCGGAGGTGAGAGTTTAAACAGTGTCAACGGTGATGCAAGGGTGACGGTGAATAGTAGGTGTACACCAATATGCAAAACCTAGAGTTCATGCCAGTAATGTATAATATCAGGTCAGGAACCTTCTTAATCAATTCTGGCTTTATTTCACAAGTTTTACAGATTGTTTTATAGAAAAATCTCTTTTCTATAAAAAAGTCATCTAAATGTTCTGTAGTCAAAAACAGAAAGTCATTCTGTACAGGGTGTCAAGTGTTTGGAACACGAGCTGATCAATGTATCATTGTATCTGCATTCAACAGAGTATTAATTCTTAACAAGTGTTATGCCCATTATTTGCTCTCAAAAAGGTTTTTGTCTGCTGGCTTTATGAAACTGTGCCTTAAAGAATACTTAAATGATGAGTTATACTTTTCTTTGGAATCTTCTCAGTTGAGATATATGGCTCTATGCTCTGTCTCCCTGTCTAGACCGTCCTGGACTCATGAATGTGAAGCAGGTAGAGCAGATCCAGGACAGCATCCTCCAGGCCCTGAACCAGCACTTGCGGGTACACCATCCTGATTTGCCTCACCTCTTCCCCAAACTGCTGCAGAAGATGGCTGACCTTCGGCAGCTGGTCACCGAGAACGCTCAGCTGGTCCAAATGATTAAAAAGACTGAATCTGAGACCTCCCTCCATCCACTTCTACAAGAAATATACAAGGACATGTACTAAGTCTTACGGCTTAGTAGACTCTTAACCTGGACTGAAAGACATGTATATTGTACACAGGTCTTCGTGGTGCGGTAGACACCATGAGATTTTTATATAGACTGCTATGGAGTTTTACAAATACTGTATTTGAAAACTGACTTTTTCTTAGGGAGAAGGTTTGTGGGTTTTTTTTGTTTTCCTTTTTTTCATAATAAATCTTAATTTTGTCATTAAGGTCCATCTTGCTTTCCACCTGGTCAACAGCATGGAGATATCACAAAATAACCCCAAAATCTAACAGTATTCTAACTAAGATGTGTGTTATGTAGACACCCAATGATTTTCTGAAATAGACTTTAGTAAAACTTAACATAGTTTCTATAGAACGTTTTGCATTGTGCATTTATCAAGGCTGCCACACACACTTTTAGAAGAGTCCCTTTATTTGCCCATTCATGAATTTAGTCAAGGCCACCAGTATCAAACTCAGTGCCAGAGTGTTATAGAAACATTGTTTGAATCAAATGTTCTTGCTTGTCCACAACTTCTTTGTTGCTTTGAAAGTAAATACTGAGTTCATTTTGTGTTTCCCTAACATGCACACTGCTAAATCAGAATATTGCCTTATTCATAATATTGCCCATATTCACTCTATTGTCTGCAGTTACCTCCTCCAGTGACCTGCTTTTCATTTGCCGTATATGATTTTGAGTTTCAAGTAGAACAGATATGCAAACAGTACATCAGATACATCACATAGTTAAAGGGGCATTCCAGCTTAAAACTAGCATTTCCTATGTTGCCATGCTATGTAATATTCTGTAGCACAGCACTGCACTCCTCAGCCTCATCAGTTTGACAGAATTCACAATCTTGTATCCTTTTTGTGTTTTTGTCCTTCAGTGTTCTCTCACTGCAATACCCAACGTGCATTATGCAAATAAAAAGAAATCCTGATTGCTGGCTTAGCAACTGATTTAGGGGCTAAAAATAAAAGCCATCACAACATTGTTTCCTAGCAGAACTGTTGGCTATCTGACATCCTTCTGCTCCTTCAAACAGCCCACCCTCAATTGTCTTGCCTGAAGAGCTTGTAGTTTTTCAAAAGTTCTTCCACCTTCAAGATACATCATTAGAAGGGAGTTTTCCTAATCTTTAAACTGGGAAATCTCACCATAGAGAATACTTTTGCACCACTGTAAGAGGCGAGTAGGCGTATTTACAACCCATGTAGTAATGGTTACATTTTTAATTTTGGCCAGAATGTCCCTTTAAGCCAGTCTTGCTTCTTTGCTATTGACTGTCAATGTGTCATGTTTGTAGGAAATTACGTATATTGTAGTTCACTTTAATGATTGGGTAAAGGAATTTGTTATTTTAAAATGGAAATATTTTTCACTGGTAACAAAGAATTCTTCATTCTTCAACTATTCTCACAGTGTTATATTCTGTTCTATGAGGACTTTTTTTTCATGTGTGCAAAAGCTTTAGCCATATACTGCTATTCTTGGATTGTTAACATCTAAAAGATGATATTTAGGAAGCACGCAGCACCCACTGCAGACTCCAGTTATCAAGCCAAGTCATTATGGAGAATAGCAGCAAATAATTTGAATCATCTGAAGATTGGTTAAAAAAAAAAAAAACCACTATTTTTATGTGGGAGAGTTTTATTCTGATGCGGATGGGGTGATGAATGCAAAACTGCTTTAATGATCAGTGATTTTGAAATTTTAATTTTGATTAAGATGCTTCAAAATGAATTTCATTGGAACACTCATTTTCATTTTTTGTTCACGTATCACCTATTATACAGATTTGTGAATTCTTCCTTTAAAAGTCCATAATCATGTAATGTTTGCCCCAAAGTTGCATCCACATAAAATAGCTTAGAGGATTTTAGTCTTTCACCCTACAGATATGAGATTGGCTGTATGATAGAACCAGCTGCATGTCTGTAGAATATTTCACCTGATACATTTTTTGTTTCAAGTTTGTTTTTTTTTCTGTTTGAAGGCATTTGAGATGCTACCATGTGCTGACATAATTTAGATGTTTGCTGCTGTAAAGCTGAAGAGCACAATACAAATGACCTATATAACCAACGGGGTGTTCATTTGGTTTGATATGAAATCTTGACTTGTTTACTTTGTCGTGAATGCACATACACACTTTTCACTCAGTTTAAACCAGCAACCTTTCAGTATTTGCTAGCAGCTGCTGGAAACCATAGTGGAATCATTGTTTGTTTCCTTCGCAAGCCACTTACACTTGACACAGCATAGATCTTTTAGATTACTGTCACTAAGTTGGTTTCTATAGATGTGTGTTGATCACCCATGTGGCAGTATTCATGATCTCATCAGTCTTTCACAAAGTGGGATGGCTCAGTTACCTAGATAACTAAAGACGAAAACCAAGGCTGTCCAGTTCCTATTGGGCAAGTCCTCACTTTGAACCTAAAGTGATAGTTCAGTAGAAAATTCAATTTAATCAGTTTCCCCTCTTACCCCAACTGCAGTCAAACACCCAAGACATGTTTGCTTCTGTGGTGCTATGAAGCTAATGTAACCAACAAGCAATGGAAGTTTATACACCAATTAGCATCATGCAAACTACATACCTAAATCATCACATGCTATCCTAAATCTGCATCCACTTGGTAAGTAATCTCAAACAGACTTGTTTATGTAGTTTTTACCAATATTATATCGTTATTTATAGAAGTGGACAAAATACATACAAAATTCAGGCTCCATGACGACTGCTAATACACATGCTACATGCTTCTCTCTTTTTATAGACAACTCCGTAATAGAAACCCGCAGTCTCTACTTGATAGTACTTAACAGCTTCTCATGGTGGGAGGCAACTGTATGATATTTGGTAGGATAAATATTACATTATTTATTAGCCGCATTAGCTTTGTAGCTCCCCCACCCCGTACTTTAATGGGCAGATCCGCCTTTGCCGATGTCGAGGTGGGCGGGTCTATCCACCCTACAAAGAGCCAATTGACTAAAGGTTATTTTAATTGGTAGAGCCACGCCCACCAATTATATATGTGTGCATTTAATTGGCCCAAACGGCAGAGGCCAAGGAGCAAGCTACCAGATGGAGGATAGACGTTTGAGTGAAGGCTTTAGCGAACGTAATGTTTGTAGGTAAGAAGGAGTAAAAACGTTTTTAACATGAGATTTCTAAGGGTGTCCTATAAGTGTAGCAAGAAGCAAGGAGTCTTGTGTTGATTATGCTAAATTAAATGTTGAGTTTTAGTCTCTTCTGCCCAGTGTGTAGCATTAGCTGGTTCATGTCATTACTGCATAACTCATCCCTTTTAAAGTTTTCACTGTTATTTAAAGCATCGAATACACGGATGTGTGCGTGTATATAGAGCTCCGCTTGCATATTTTAGACTCAAATACACGATGCTCACATCACCAAAAAGGATTGAATAAATAAGAAAAAATGGTGACCGATGTTTATGAGGCAGAACAAGGGACTTTTTCTCTCGACCCTTATTGGCTGATCAAGCTTCGTGCGTGACGTAGGTCTCCTCGGTGCTGCCCCTCTGGTCACTGAGTAAACGAGTGACGCGACGAGCGCAGCAACCACAACTTTAACCGTAGTTACTGATAAGTCACTTAACGTTAGTGAACACAAATGGATGGGTGCCGTGTACCGCGCAGACATTCAGGAAAACGCGGTTTTAATATAGAAAGGCAAATTTGCAGGTATGACTCGAGTCACGGTCGAGTGTTTTTAAATGTAAAGCTGCCCGACTCTGGCTAGCCAGGCAACCGACGTTAGCCAGAACTTTATTTACATCCGGTTATGCCCTAAAAGTTTCAGTTGTGTCAATCTGTTTTATGTGATCAACAAAGCTACAAACCGCTTCAGTGTGCTTCCCATTTTTTGCCATTAGAAGTCGCTGCGTTAGTTTTTAGCGAAGTTTGCTTGAGTTAACGTTGTAGTTTGCTTTTTCAGCTAACCTTAAACCGTAGGCAATAGCAACCAGTTACTGGTCGCTTAGAACCGTGTGAAAACAGCCCTCTACACTCTCAAGAAGAGTTCTTCAAAGGTTGTTTAGTTAAGGGAATGGTTCTGTTCAGAACCACTTGCATGCTTAAATGGTTCTTTGCATGGAGAAATTTCTTCAGACAGGTGAGTGTTGCATATGGTTGTGTATAGAACCTTTTGGAAAAGTTCTGTATAGCATCACTGTTACGATGTAAAGCTTGTAATGATAGAAGAACCCCTTTGGTGCTATATAGAACCATTTTCAAAATTCTCCATCACCTTTTCACTATGCAAAGAACAGTTTCAGCGTCAAATGATTCTATATAACTCATGGTTCTAAATAGAACCATTCACTTTACTAAAGAACCCTTTAAGAACCATCTTTTTTTAAGAAAGTAGTCAGCAGTAATTGTCTACTCTAATCTTGGACGCCTGCTGAAATGTCAACAAATGTTGTGTAACTCTGTCGTTGCTCTCTCTGTGTCTCAGGCAGTTCATAAACGGCTCCTGCAGGTATGGTCAGCACTGTTATTATCTGCATGAATGGCCCACAGTGCCCTCAGTTCAGGTGTGCAGGTACTTCCAGAAAGGAGGTTGCTGGTTTGGTGATAACTGCAGGTAAGAGCCTCAGTCTTGTACACCTTTTACCAATTTTGCTGTTGCATTTGTTTCATAAGTCCCCCCCCCCACACTTTTTTTTCCAATTACAGGTATCTTCATGTTCCTTGTACAGCTAGTGAGACGTCAGGCGGTAGGCGAGGTTCAGCACCTGTAGTCCACTCCTCTGCCTTGGCTGGCCACACTTTGGCTGAGCGTAGGGGGTCTGAGCCCTCCCTTTTTGCAGAGCAGCATGCACACAGCTCAAGACGGAGAGGGTCTGAGCCTCTGGTTACAAGTTTTATAAGCCTACAGCAGAATTTGCAACATCCAGCTGCAGGTATCGCAGAGGAGGAAGAGGATGCAGTTGCTGAAGCAGGGCTTGTACCTCACCAGCAGGGTACTGTAATTCATTGCAATTGGTCTTGCAGCATTTTTTGCATTTACATGGAATGTTTCTTCAGTCATTGACCATTTTGTCAGGCAGATCTACCGTATAGGTGCACTTTGTAGGTGTACAATTACTATATGTGACCCACCTATTGTGGCATAGATGGTTATCCACCCTCTACATCTTAAACTGCTGTCTTGCTCCTGTTTCTGAGAATAGTGTGCTTACCAACAATATTGAGCCAACAGTGGTCTTTTGGTCAGAAACTGACCACTGATGAAGGGCTAAAAGATGCACAACACAATTGTGCATGGAAAAACTGCCAAGTGTACACTTACAAGGTAGGTGTTTTTGTAATTGAGCCCAGTTAGTTTGGAGCACTTAAATGCTTTCAGTGCTTTGTGCACTTTTACCTGAGCAACATGCACATCCATACCACTACCCAGTTAGTGTCACTGCTGTGCTGAAAATGGTTTACTGCCCAAAGCTGTGGTCCTCTGGTTGTTCCTTTTTATTGATAGATGGATTAGAAGGAGGCTGATAGTGTGGAGCTATAAATGGGCTACAGTCAATTGTGTACCTAAAGTGCAACTGTATGGTTGGCATATGTGGTAATGTTTGGTAAAATGAAGGTGCATCTAAATGTCCCTAATGAATTTGAAACTCTGCAGCTGGTACATTGACTAGCAGAAGATAATCATGTTTTCATGTGCAGATGAGGGACGGCAGCTACAAAGTACTTGCGCTAGTCCCAGTCATTCGAACAGCATTGTATCTGCTGGCTCCATGTCTCATGCAGCTTCTGCTGAAGCTCAGGAAAAAATGGTGTCTCGAAGTGACAAACAGGTGAGCTGAGGGTTTGTGGGGTGTTTATTTTATTTTATTTATTATTTTTAAAAAATTGCTGAGCCAGTGATCTGCTTTATGTTCAGGAAGCCAGTCTGCAGGATGGACTGGAGAGTGGTGCTACAGCTTCAGCCGAGCAGGACCGAACAGATGCCTACAATCAAAGCAAAGATGTGTTCTGTGGCATCTGCATGGACAAAGTTTACGAGAAAGCCACAGAGAGAGAAAGGCGCTTTGGCATCCTGCCCAACTGCAGCCATGCTTTCTGCCTTGGTTGCATCATGACGTGGCGAAAGACCAAAGAGTTTCAGGAAGATGTCATCAAGTAAGCTTGTTAAAACATGTTCTTTGTCTGCTTTCAAATAATTATGTAATGTGTCGGCATGGTATGTCTTTGATTTTGGGACTACGCAATGGTTTTTTTTTTTGAACAGGGCCTGTCCACAGTGCAGAGTGAAGTCCTCATTTTACATTCCCAGCAAATATTGGGTGTGTGAGGATGAGCCAAAGGCAGCACTGATCTCTTCGTTTAAAGAGAAGAGCAGGTTAGAGGTGTTTTGCATTTTCACTCTTGACTTGGTCTGTGTGAAGCAAGCATGTGACTGACTTATCACAAGGTTACAGTGGGAGCCTATGGGGAAGTAAAGCATTTGATGCATCCTATCCCTAAACTTGCTGTACAGGTCTTCAAAAATATGCCTTCAGTGTGGTGTAGAAATCTAGTTTTGTTGTCTTGGTTTGTCCTCAGATTATTTTTTTTTTTATTATAATGACTGTACTTTACCCAGGTTCATCTTCATGAAAAAAGGTCAGTTTCAGAGACTTGCATCATTGTACGAGTAATGCCTTCTCTCATGAGGTTGGAAGCTGGAGTATAGGATACAGCTTTAAGTTCTTACCATGTTTGAGCATTACGAAATAGAACATATTAAAGGGGAAAACTGTCATGCAAAATTTTCAAGAGATGCAGTATTCAAAAGCACCATGACCAAGGTGCTTGTTGGCATCATGTCTGAAAGAACTGTTTATCCCCATCCAGCAAAATAAAGTGCAATTTCTTCATGCGTCATGGATGCTGCCCCTTTGCATCGGAGTGCATTTTCAGCCATGACCTGCCACCTGGGCACAGACCTCAACGTAGGCCCTTCAGACCAAAGGTAATTTCTCTCTTCCAGGCCCTTTCAATTTATGGAGCATACCAACCTAAAACTTGAGTTTAATGGTTGTCATGTTGTGCAGTTTTCTGTAGCACCACATTGCTCAGTGTAGTTTGACAGAGTTCATGATTTTTGTTTATGCTTTTTTTTTTTGGCAGTGTCCTCACTTTAGTATCCAGCATGTATTATGCAAATACTTCATACAACATTGGAAATCCCTGTGGTGTCAGTTCTAACTACTAGCCTAGCAACTGATCTATAGGCTAATCAATCCAACCAAGCTAACTTTGTAACTCTTACCTTGGTTGTCAATTATTTTTATTATTATTATTATTATTATTATTATTATTATTATTATTATTATTAAAAAAAGAAATGGGGGGGGGGTGTGGAAATTCTACTATTATTTAGCCCCAGTTTGGTGCCAAACTTGGGCAAGATTTCTAGGTAACCTTGCTAGCTTTACCTTTTAGCTTATCTTCCTCATTTGACAAGTCACTTGTCATTTAACCAATCGGTTCTCTCCATTATTCTTGGAATGAATTCAAGACACATCACAGTTGTATGGCTGCAGTGATATATTCAGCTTTGAGTTATGACTGGAGTATACCTCTTTTTTTTTATTTTGCTTTGTATTGTACACATTGTACAGTGGAATGGTGTTACATTACTTATACTGTTGGTACTTGCTTTGGAAAGCTGAAATAAAGCTAGTAACGTCATTCTTTACCCCACCAGAGTGCTGCAGAGTTGTTGGATCAACGACTTTTGAGCTACTTCATTGCCCTGACACTCTTGGATGATGAGGACTTTGATTTTCTTGATGAAATTGAAGTCTTTTGAGCCATGTGATCATCTTGGCTTTCAAGAGCTCATGCAGTCTTGGATCCTAGGTCTTGGAAAAGGTTATAATATCTAAAGTAATAAGTTAATGTATCATTAAGTGAAGTCGGTGAGATCTGAGGTGCATGTGCCTTCTGCCTTAGATGACTCTGGTCAAACTGCTACCCTGGATGCTGTTGAGCCATTCTAAGTTGGTTAATTTTCTGCCTCTGTTTGGCTAACTTTTAGCCATGTTAGATTTACTGGGATTTTGGTAAATGGAGGAAAGACTGTTAAACTTCAAAAGGCTTCAGTTCTGTCTTTGTCCTCAGACTTCACCACAGAGGAGACTAGGACAAAGTATTTTTGCTGTAACTTGAAAAAATGAGTTTGAAATATTTTCATTGTTAATACTTGATATACTGCTTTATTGTTCACTTATGTACTGTTTTTGTAATCTTCACCTCAGTGTATTACTCAGCTACTTGCACCATTTTTGTATCACTACGAGACTAGATTTTAATGGTATTTGTCTTTAGTGAATTTTTATGTGTCTAGACTCTGCCACTTTAGCCATGTCTGACATTCTTGTTAAACCAAACACTACTGGCCAGAGGATTGATTTAGCCCAGTAATAGGCTGGATGGTAACTTGCTCTAGCTCTGGAAAACTAGTCCTCCATGTGTAACCTGTTGGCAGGCTTTTGATAATTTGGTGTATTGCAGTGTTGACGGGTACAACCAAGACTTGGCATCACACATCATAGCTTTTATTGCCTATGTGTTTGTATTTAGTTGAGGAAAAGTGAAAATAAAATGTGATTTGCCTCATTTTGCTCTCCTTTATTTATGTCTTTAAAAGTTCATGCCTTCATTTGAGTGAAAGTTCAGTATTTAAGCCTTTTTTTTTCTCAAATCATGATTTGTAAACTGATGCCAGCAAGAGTATCAATCCATTAGTGAAATCCGGTTGTGTGGTTTTTGTTTTTTGTTTTTTTGTTCCCCTGTTTGCCTATATGAATAAATAGTCTACATAGTAAGGTCTATAGAACATGGAAAAGACTGAATATTTTCAATATTTTATACCATACAGTAGGTGGCGGTATGGGTATACAATCCGCAACCTACTTAAACCAGAAGAAGAACGAAAAAGAAACGGAGCGCCCATGGCGCTGTATGCCCGCCTTATTCAAGTCTGTGTAGGCGATACCAGGGTCTTCCAGGATGGCCGCCTTTTAAAGGGGCTTGTAAACAGACCTTGTAACATGTCACAGACACACCAGTAGCACGTTAGCCCTCTGTCTGTTCAGCTAGCAGTGCTGGTAAACTGCAGTGCAATGTCGTCTTTACTGCACAGTTTTCACGGTCCCTCCCGTTTATTAGCTCACGCTTTACTTACCGGGGGAGTAAACGGAGCCCAAAAAGTGTTCAGCAGACTGAGAGGAGCTAATTCAACCCTTCAGTTTGCGCTCCTTTCTGGAGTCTTTGTGTGGAGATGAGGCGAGGCTGGATAAGGACACTCAAGCACTCACTACGTAAGTAACGTCAAGAATGCTAATGGCTTAATACTAAAACACATGAAGCTGTTTTAGCTTTTCACCCAGAAATTCAATTGAAGCATGTAAAGATGTAATTAATACTAGAAAAGAAATGAATACTGACAAAAATGAATTTTATAAGTACACTAATTAGCTTAGTGTCCTCTGGTTACTTGTTTTTACGTGTCTTGTATTTGCGCTCAGTGTTCATCTCCGCTTTACCATATAACTAGGTTAGGTGCATTTGGTAGTTCTTCAATTGCAGCCTGTAGTCCATCTGTTTCTCTGCATACTTTATCCCACTTTCACCCTCTTCTTCAGTGGTCAGGGCCCCACAGGGCCATCACAAAGCAGGTATTATTTGGGTGGTGGATCCTGAGGCTGCACTACACAGCACTGCTGTGTCTGATCCACTCGTCCCAGCACACCACATACTAACATGCTACCGTCACTGCAGTGCTGTGTAGTGCTGCCTTAGTGTCACTGCTGGACTGAGAATAGTTCACCAACCAAAAAATAGCTTGTGACCAGTGTCCTGTGACCACTGATGAAGGACTACAGGATGACACACACAATCTGTGCAGCAACAGATGAGCTTCTGTCTCTGAGTTTAGATCTACAAGGTGGACCAACAAGGTCAGTGTCTAATAGAGTGGACAGTGAGTGGACACACTGTTTAAAAACTCCAGCAGCACTGCTGTGTCAGATCTACTCATACCAGCACAACGTGTCACTGTAGTGCTGAGAATGATCCACCACCCAGTTAATACTTGCTGTAGGGGGGGTCCAGACCATTGAAGAAAAGGGGCTAACAAAGTATGCAGAGAAACATTTTTACATTTGAATTACCACGTCAAACATGAATTCATACTTCTAGGAAAAGTTTAGTATTCTGTAGTGCAGCTTTGCATCTCTCAGCCTCATCATTTCAACAGAATTCATGATTTTGTGTCTGTTTTGTGTTTTCCTCCATCAATGTTCTCTCAGCACAATACCCAACATCCATTGTGTAGATGTCAAAGAACGATATGGACCCACCCCAACACACACACACTTGTCAAATTTAATGTGTTTACTTGTACTGATAACATTTTTATTTGCTCTAATGTCAAATATCATGACACTGTATATTAAAAGCTAAAATGGCCTTTCACACTAGAACCATGTATATATTAGTATGTATTAACTTTACTCCTGTGTTGCAGAAAGCCACTGGTCTGCTTGTTTTCTGATGCCTTCAAGTGTGATCTGCTTTGCTTTCTGCACCTTGTGCATTCCTGGGTGCCACGGGACAGTGTGCTTGCCCTGCTCCACTGCATGGCTCAGGAAGTGAAGCAAAAGCCATGGATTTGGGCCTTAATTCACCAGCTTCAGAGAGACATTGGTGATGAGGAGCTTGGGCAAAATACCCTTCTCAGCCCAGAATGTGTGGTGCGTCTGAAAGGGCTGTGCGAGAAATTCAAAGACCCTGAAGCAAAAGGAGGGTGGGACCTCTATCTGAATGAACACAGGACCGAAGTGCTGTCAAATAATGAGACAGATTCAGTTCACAAGAAGAGAAAAAGCGAGGTTATAGATCTTGATATAGATACAGATATGGGTGAGCCCAAAACCAAAAGGATGAAGATGGATCTCCCAGCCAGTGAGGACACTGAGAGTGAAAAGGTGGCTGAGGAGGAGGAGGAAATTGACGTGCAGCTTTACTGTGGTCCAGATAGAAGTTCTTCACCGGGACAGCAACCACAACATGATGATTCACTGAGTATCTTGCCAGAGCACATAAAGGTGAAATGGAAATCAAAACAGATTGGTGATCTTTTGTGACCTAAAACATTTGGTTTATCACTTGATACACGTTCATTTGCATAACGTGAGCAATACAATTAATTTGCAAGTATATTGTACATACATTCATATCTAAAAATGTGCGCAACCCTGGTTAAATTTTAAAATTTATTGATTTTCTAAGCAAAAATGAGTACACATTCTGTACAAAGAACACACTTCTGCATATTTTAATGCACAATTATTGTTTATTTACTGAATTTAACTTATTGGGAAAAATACATAAAATGTGGCGTGTGCAAAATTTATGGCACGTTTTATATGTTTTACTTTTTTTTCCTATTTAAGTTTGTTCCCTGTAGAGTATGTGTTAAAATATTTTGACTTAGAAAACCAACAAAACATGTCGTTTGACCGGGGCTGTTCAAACTATTGCATACAACTGTATTTATTGCTAATATATGGACAAGTTTTATTCAGATCCTACTAAAAGGTCACTTACAGAGGTTTCTATTAGGAGTGGATCAAAGGGTGATCACAATACATGCTATACTTATGTGTTATGCACAAAACACAATAAGCATCATAATATTTTGTTTTTCTGAGGTTTGATAAGTTTGATGAACAGCCCTTAGTGCCACATTTAAAAACTACTAGTAAAACTGTGATTACAATGATTTTTATTTAGTGTTCCACATCTTACACTGCACTAATCCAGTTAAACAGGACTGGTTATGTTCTCTTTGTAATTAAACAGGCAGTTCTTTATGAACTGACAAGATCCACAATATGCTCAGCAAAGCGCATTATGAGATAATGTGACATAATTGATCGCACTCCACTCCTTTCTATCAAAAATAGAGGATAGTGCAGATCATGGCAGAGCAAATGGGAACAAATCATGTTGAATGCAATGACCATTCATAAAAAAAACTTTTTTTTTAGGCTGCTGTTCCTTTGATTAAAGAATTATTGCAGTCTGAAACAGAGGTAAGATGAATACAATGTTTTGTTCCTGAAATTGATTATGATAATTTGCTTGTCCCCTCATGTTTTATTCTATTTCTCTTTTTTTTATAGTGGGATGAGAGCTGTATGGCGACACTCAAAGTGCTGAATGAATGTGACTCAAAACAGGTTTGAACCACTGTGTATGCTGTAGTAATGTAGAGTTTTCATGGGTCGTTGTCAGGGGTGTCCATGGAAATGTTTTAAACACTGATCATGTTGTCTGTACTTCCTTCTGCAGTTACAGGTGTTGTGTGGACTGCTGGGTTTGGCTGAAGTACCTGAGCAGATGTTACCTCATTTCTGCAGCTTCCTGCTGTCTCTGTCTCCAGATCTCAGCCACAGCACGGCCTCTGTCATTATCAAGAACCTCTTGCTTGGCAAGGTGGGCACTTTACATCATCCACACATTCTGCTTGTGTTTTAAGGAATAGTTTGGGGAAAAATCAGGGCACAGAAATGAAATAAAAAAGTCAGTTTGCTCCCAGCAGAACCAGTACTTTAACGTTTCCAACCCCAACATTCCTAAACCAGTTAAAACAAAATGAAAAAAACAGTTAATTCTGCTTCTTTTCCATGTATGTGAGCCTAATATAATAAAATAGTAGGTTTGGAAAGCTGTGCTGAGAGTGATCCGCCACCAAAATAATATATGGTCTGTGGTGGTCCTATGGTTGTTCCTTTTCAGTGATAGACAGGGTAGAGGGGCTGATGAACTGTACAGCAACAGGTGGGTTACAGTCAGTAATTGTAGCGAAAAGTGCAACTATTTGGTAGGTGTTTCTGATTAAATGGTCAGTGAGTATGGGCGTGTCATGTGGTGTTCCCATTATTTTGTACATCCCCTGTACAGGCCATATAAATCCATTGATTGAAATCAGGCACATGCGCATATAGACTCTGGGAGGCAGTTTGAACCTCTACCCCTTTACCCTCAGAATGTGCAAGTACACTATTGGTGTATAATAACTATATATTTATACTGCCTCTGCCTTTCTTTAAGATGTGTTTTAATGACCTAAGGCTTAGCCTCACCTTGAGAATAGAGCTTGTGAGTCAGCTTGGGTTCTATGAGATTCATCACCCTTGGGCAACCCCCCTCTGACAGTACCACTACCTGTGGTTCCCCTAAGTAACTTTGACCTGTCAGATCCCAGCAACTGGCAAAACGCTGATAATCTCTTTAAGAAAGTATCACATTCCATGATGTGGTTATTTTGAACAACAACCAAACACAATGTTATAAGGGGTGCTAATAATTTGCTACACCAAGTTATCATTACTGTAAAAAACAGGGATTTATGTAAGACTCTATGAAGCTTTTGAATGGAGTTCAATAATGCAGCGAGTAACGCCACAGCTTTGCGTACAAGAGACTGGGGTTCAGATTACTTCATAGGTAAAAACGGGCCTTTGGCTACCTTTTGAAGAATTCTTAACACTTCACGTTTGATTTTATCTGATTAAAAAAAATATGATTACACTGTCTCTCCTGATAAGTGTGATTGTAATATACAGTAAATTAAACTTAATTTATGATCATGTTGCCCTTTTCCCCCTTGAGCCTCTGCCCCAAAACGTCTGTGCATGTGCTTGATTGAAATCATGCAAGACATGATGTGGATTCAAAAACATGTAGGAGTTTTCCGTTTCCATTCCTCAGACCAGTTTGGAGCCCTGGGAAAATCTAATTTTCCACACATAAGCTCTAGTTGCTTGTTAGCTACATTAACCTTGTAGTGCTATTTTAAATCTAAAGAAACAAACTTCATACATCAAACGTGTCTTGACTGATTGACTAGATTTGGGATAAGTGGAAAATGTTTTAAATTAGATTTTTTTTTGTTATTCTAAACTATTCCTTTAACCACGTACACAGCCTTGTATTTTTGTACTGATTTTAAACACCAATATTATTTTTGCTATTATTTGACTGGTCAGGTCTCTCTCCTTTTTTTCTCAGGTTCTTTCCCTCACTGAACCAGCCTCACGCTCTCTGGTCACTGCCGTAACGTCACTCTGCAGTCGATACCCAAGACCCACCTGCCAAGCTCTCATAGAGCCAATCATAAAGCAAGGACAAACAGGTGCGACAGATAAAGGTTATTTAAAATTTTTCTTGTCTTGTTAAGATGAAAGCATTTGATGCAGTACGTTAAAATATTAACAGCGTACCCTTCACTCCCCATTCCATACAGTCCATATATGGAAATAAGCTGCAAAAACAGTCTATTCTAAATTTATTGCATTTGTGATGTCATGAAAACCAATGTATTTCCATATATCCACCAATTCATCCTACAGCAGTTTAGTTCCACACATTTAAATTGAAGTTAGAGGCAGTGTTTCTACCTGGACTGCTTTTTGAATGAGATACAATACAAGGTAGCCAATGAGAACAGAGCTCATTTATATATATCAGTCATAAAAGTACAATAACAAAAGCCTGTTTAATTCTAAGGGTTAAAGAGAGGTTGGAAGATCCTGTAAAGAAATAATTGCAACTATTTTCGGTACAGCGGCGCGAAGTGGGTAGCGCTGTCGCCTCATAGCTAGAAGGTCCTGGGTTCAATTCCCGGCCAGGTGACCAGGGTCCTTTCTGTGTGGAGTCAATTAGACATGCTAAATTGCCCCAGTTATGAGTGCTTGTGTGAATATATATGTCTGTGTGTCTGCCCTGTGATGGACAGGCGACCTGTCCAGTGTGTTTCCTGCCTTCCGCCCAATGATTGGGCTGGGATAGGCTCCAGCTCCCCCTGCGACCCAGATGGATAAGCGGCTTAGAAAATGTGTGTATGTGTGTGTGTGTGTCTGTGTGTTTTGGTACATAAAACACAAAAAGTGAAAAAAATTGATGTTTCCTCTACCTGATTCTTCAGGTAGCGCTCAGGCTGAACTGCTGTGTCAGCTTTTGAAGAACTGCCTTGAGCCACATCACAGGCTTCTTGTATTCGAGTAAGTCTAAGTCTTTTTGTAAAGGCATTTACAAGAATGCTATCCATGTGTTTTAATGTAACTCAAGGTTATGTGTTTTTCTTTTTTTTTTTCCAGGATGACACTTGTGGGCTTGTGGAATGACGGTTTGTTGTCAGTCATCCATGCCATACTGGATTCAAAGGTAGGCCTCATATTTCCTCTAAAATCCCTCAACAGCTTGCTAAGTACTAAAATAATTTGTTACGTTGTGTAGTTTTATATGTTTGTTGAGTTTGAGAGTTGTAATGCACTTTTTCTGTTCTTTCTACTTCCTGTAGATTGAGCTGAGTGAAGAGCTTTTTTCTCTTTTCACCAACCAGTTGAGCAGTCAGTCTCCACACTTTACCAAGTCCATGAAGTTCGCTAAGATGATGCTGACTGTCTTGACAAAGTTCCACTCTCATGTGAGTTAGATGGACTGTAATACTAATATGCTCAGGCTGCTATGATAATACCTTGTGCAGCACTGCTTGAAGCAGCAATGAATGTAGGGTCTTGTTTTTGTTTTAGTCTCAGGTAATTTTGTGCAAATATGCTTTGTGCAGATAGCTGTGTTATTTTATGATGTTCTCACTTAAATAATTACATTTATTATTTTCTTTCTTAAACAGGCTTTTTAAATGAACATTTTCTACTGTAGATATTAATTGTAGGTTACATATGAAAAAGTGCAGTTACATACACGGAAGTACATTTATATATTCACTCAAATTCAAACAAAAAAATGATAGTCATTCATTTATTAAACAATAAATGACTGCTTTTGCCTGGCGTGGGGGGCCTGACTAAGTCACAATGATATTATGTTCCTCTGATTAATTTTCAGGTGAATGCAGCATGCCAGCACACACTGTCCTCCTGTATCTCTTTCAACGAGACCTTCTTGAAGAAGTCCCTCCAGGCTGCTCTTAAACGCATTACTCATTAATGTTATATTATGTTATGTTAGTAATATATAAGAAAATGTTCTATATTTTATCAAATGTATTGGACTGTAAGTGTAATATAAATATAAATAAATAAACATGTACCTGTACACTGTGATGGCACTTTCCTATACCAGACTTTCCTTTTTAAAGCAAATATAAACATTTTATTGAATTCAACTGCAGTGACAATTTGAAGATAATTGTAAAATGTTACAATTCGCTGAACTTTCATAATGAAGTTTAATAAAGTTACATAAAATATAGTACCAATGCTCACTACAGACATTAAAGATAACTATAATCACAATGAGTGGTAATAAGATAATAACAAAATATGAAAAATAAAATTATTATTATTATTATTATTATTATTATGCTCATAGAACATCAATAACCTGAGTCAAAATCAGGTTTCAGCTAATGTGGAATAAGTACAGAAACACCGTGTGAAAGCTACAATGCCAATGTGAAAACGACTGTTTGCGAGTGTACACGGCATGGGGAAGTGTATTATTATTATTATTATTATTATTATTATTATTACTAAAGTAGTATTACTTTTATCATTAGTAGTAGTAACTTTAGTAGTACTAATTCTTTTTAAACCATAAGCATAAAAAACTACAACTAACATGGCCGTTCCGGAAGACCGTGTTGAACTGACTGGCGCTTATATTTAGCGTAACTTCCTTTCCTCTTTCCTTTTTCGAGCTCCGTGTGGAAGGAGAAGACGAGCTAAAATGAGGTACACAGAAAAACCCCTTAAACCTTCACATTTGGAGTATTTTGTTATTCATACAATGATTGTTAGTAGGAATAGTGACTTTTGCCGTATTTTGAACGTTGTGTTGGTAAGAAAGTTTCGGAAATAAACCAAATTTGAGCTTTAGGCGCCTCTTCAGTGTCTACCGGCGTAGCGCTGGAGCCGGATCAGTGCTCACAATCACAATCCGGTGAAATCCACACACTATTCGGCTATATTGATCAGTATAATTGGTTAGTAGTGGACAGTATAGCTTTAAAATTAGTTTTCCTGCTAAATTGCAGAGTAGATGACCGTTAGTTTGACATCGATGGTGTTCACACAGATGGGGGTCATCACAGTAGCTGTTGACGACATTAACACAAGAACAGTTTAGCTACCGCTGAGGTTTAGAGCCTTTTCATTAAAATTTGTTTTCTTTACAGCAAGGTCTCGAGAGACACGCTGTACGAGGCGGTTCGGGAGGTCCAGGCTGGCTCCATTTCTAAGAGGAGAAAGTAAGGCTTTTTTACATAAAGTTTTTTCATTTATTTAAAGCATTTGCGCTTTTACTGTTCGCTGTTGTAGTTACAGATAGTTTAAATATATATTTGACTGAATGTAGTTGTGTGTAGATGAGTGAACTGTGGAAAATAAGCTTTTATTATTATACTGACCAGCTTGACTTGTGCAGGTTTCTGGAGAGTGTGGAGCTGCAGATCAGCTTGAAGAACTATGATCCCCAGAAGGACAAGCGTTTCTCAGGCACTGTCAGGTTCGGACCTTTACTGTTTCACCCAACTTTCTCTCTGCCTGCGCCCTACCCTGCCTGAATGTTCATGCATTTTTTTTTGTTAAATCGGCTCTTCTGAGGTTAAACTTACTCAGTTGTTCAGGCAGACTAGAGACAGGCAGTGGAGAACAGTTCTGGGTAGTCTGCATGCCTTCCTCGTCTGGGTTGGTAAAGCAGGCGGACCCCTACCCTGGGTCTTAAAACATGAGGGGAGGCTAAGGGTGGGTGCATTCGTGCTCTCGTCCCTAAGCCGACAATTTAATTGTATGACTGTGCTGTCGGCTCCTGACGCCAGCCTACGTGGTATGGGTAAGACTTCAGTTCTGCGGCACTTAGTTTGGGAGAGCTGTTTGTGATCACTTCTGTGAATGAATTCATTACTTCACCCCTGACAGGCTGAAGACCACCCCACGTCCCAAGTTCTCTGTATGCGTTCTCGGTGACCAGCAGCATTGTGATGAAGCCAAGGCTGCAGATATCCCCCACATGGACATTGAGGCTCTCAAAAAGCTCAACAAGAACAAGAAGCTGGTCAAGAAACTGGGTGAGTTTCTAAGAACGTAACTGAACATTTAATGATTGTAAGAATCTGTTGAAGCAGTTATATATCCCCTCTTCTGGTTCTAATACATATTTGAATTTAAATGCAGATATGATGGGTAACCTAAAATAACCTCGTTTCGTCTCTGCTCTGTTCTCTATAGCTAAGAAATACGATGCCTTCCTGGCTTCTGAGTCCCTAATTAAGCAGATTCCTCGTATCCTGGGCCCTGGCCTCAACAAGGCTGGAAAGTTCCCTTCTCTGCTCACCCACAATGAGAACCTCAACACCAAGGTGGATGAGGTCAAATCCACCATCAAATTCCAGATGAAGAAGGTATGAGGCTGTTGGTGTACATTTGGTGGAACACAGTGCTTGGCTTGTTTTGGATTTAAATAATTTAATCATAACAGTCTTGAATCTATTAAAGTAAATGATAATGATAAGTGTAAGTGCTGCATTTGAAGATGTATTTGTTCTTGATTAGTGCATTAATGCCTGTCTCGGTGTCTGATGTCCTCAGGTGCTGTGTCTCGCTGTGGCAGTGGGCCATGTAAGGATGACTGAGGATGAGCTGGTCTACAACATCCATCTGGCTGTTAACTTCTTGGTGTCTCTGTTGAAGAAGAACTGGCAGAATGTTAGAGCTCTCTACATCAAGAGCACCATGGGAAAGCCTCAGCGTCTCTATTAGAGACTCTGGCCTTTGCTTTTCTATAATAAATGTGGAGTAATCCAAATCTTGCTTGTCAGTAGTTTTTTCTGTTCATGTTTTCCCCATTTGATCTAAATGTTAAAGCGCCTCTTTAAAAATTTGTATTTCTGGTCTGGTGCTGTAAAACGGATATGCCTGTATTTTAGTTGTTGGCTGATCACTGATATGATTTTTTGTTTACATGTATGCTGATATTGCAAGGCAAAAATAAAAAAGTGAGAATTGAGGCTACAATTAGTTCTACAGGGAAAAGTAGCATGTATTTGTAGGGGTTTACAACAAAAAAAAACCGAACAGAACTGAAACATTTTAGCACCGTAGACCAGCTTCCAGAGTGCTCTAATTAAACTGTCAAATCTAAACATCTGATGGCTTTTTTCTGCCAATTATTTGGATACAGTACAGCCCTACTGTAAAACTGCATAAATATGGTTATAGTTGGCCAGATGCAGTGTCAAATTCTGCCAATTGATATGATTAAGAATTCTTTTCATTACTGAATATACGTGTGACTAGAATAACTATTTGCAAAACAGAGGAAGATAAAATCAGAGAATAAATGTACTATTTGGCCGGAAGGTGCGTACTTGCTAAGAATTAATGGGTTGTCCTTATAAAATTGGTGCGTTTGAATATGCATCTTCTGTACATCAGTAATGGTTTTGAGAAATCAGTGCAAGAATGCTTTGGATTGAAGGTTATGCTGGCCTTACACTAAACGACTTTTAAAGCGATTTTTTTCGTCTTGATGCTCCGACAAAATCTACCGTGTTTGATAGTATCGCGAGTTCTAAGTCTTGGCTCATGCAAATAGTGACGTGCCAAGGGCGCGCGTAAGAGCGATCGGGCGAGCGCATGCGCGCGGCGAGAGGGCGATAGGAGAGAATGGGAGAAAATGCATGCGCGAGTGCCTGAAATCTGTAAAAAAAACAAAAAAGGCAAATCTGCTCAACCTTAAACAATAATCATAATAAAATGTAAACTGACCGTTATAATATTTCAGGTTCCGAGTGTAACAGTGATGTAAGGAAATGTGCAGAGGACTTCAAGAATGCCATCAATGTTCTGCTTTCTGTTACACTGGCTTCTTATTTTGTTCGCTTGCTATTTATGGTTTAGCTCGTAACACCAAATCCAAACCAGTGCTTTGTTGATGCGTAAATCTTTATGTCAAATTAAAAAAGGTAACTGCACATTTTACAGGTTTATTAAAATCATTCTGGGTGATAATCTGCCAGAATGTGCAGTCCTATAGTGAACTGGGCTGAGACCCAGAACTTCACATGCTCAGCCAACGTATCTTCCCGTCTGTACCACTATAGAGTGGAAGGGCAAGTGTTTATCTGCTGGTAAATTTCTACCAGGTGCATGATGGGAAATAATCTCAAAAGTCTAGTTGCAGTCTTGCAAACAGTGACGCTGCAAGATTCCTAGTCTTTGCAAAGTCATACTCTGTGACTAAAAGCTGTGACATTGTCCTTAGATGTGAGAGGGTGTCAGACTTTAGTCTTTTCAAAGTCTTTGTGTATGGTTAGCATTAGTTGTACAACTAAATAGGGTGTACATTGTTTTCTGCTGTTAAATATTTCAAACATTGCAAAGGGCTATGTAGTATGTAGTAACTTTCTGTGAGGGAGCTTTTAGAAGTATTAAACTCCTCAGACGTCTGGTTCCTATCACCACCACTAAGAATTCTGAGTAAGTTTCTGTAGAACAAAGCATTTCACACCAAACCACTGCATGCTGGCATACTGACCATTTAATCTTACAAAATTTTTGAAAAATCGGTGAAGTTCCCCTATAATTCGGTTAAACCTAACTCCAGAATGTGCACTCGGACGAATAGCTTTTTGAGGTTTCACCTCAAGATAGCTGCTCTATACATAGCGTTGATGGCCAAAGTCATCAGAATGAACTAAGTGGAGTTAGTGGCCACGTCGAGGCTCGCCTTTATCTCCTAACGAGATTACAAACTTCACTGTGCAGCAAGAAGAGTCAGAAGAAAGTACGGAGGGCCACACGGTAAGAGAACATTCTATTTCCCAGGCTCGGGTTTATGTTGTGGTCTGGCTGTTCATGCATACTTGCATTCTGCCCTCAGTTGTTTTTTAATGAGCATCTAAACTAAGAGTTTGGTCAGTGAAATCTGGTACCGTTCAGTCAGTTTCAGTTGTGGTCTCGGTGGGTTTCCTGTAGTGACTCTGGCTGGAGGATTTGGGAAAAGAATGTCAGAAGAATCTCACGTTAAATACAGCAGGCCTGTTTTACCCTGTAGGTTCTAAATCAGAGCTTCTCAGCTTCAAGTGAAGGCTTAATCTGCTTTAGGAAAACAAGCTAGAGGTTCTTTTAATAGAGCGATGTATGGAGAATGTTTTCCCACAAATTTATGGCTGCAGGAAGAATAGATGGCCTTCCTGCTGGAGGAAGAATGCATGTTTTTTTTTGCATTGTGGGTTGCTTTGTGCCTCACCTCACACAGACTATATGTATACTTATAAGAATGTTCTTCATTTCTCTGCTGACCAGAAAATGAGTTCACAGGTGAGCACGCTTTCTAAACTGGCCTTTGGAATTCATTTTATGATAGTTTATAGATTGTTAGTATTACCATCAGATGATCTCATCCCTTTCTGCACAAACATTTTGATTTAGTTTTTATCTTTTTAAATAACTATTAATTTAATATAACACCTTATTTCTTTGTCCTACCATTCACTTCATTGCTCTTGTCAGGCATGTGAAGACCACAATGCTAGCAGCAGAGGGCTGGACAGTGAGGATGACTCTGAAGAAGGTGAATGCTCTTAATGATCCTAACAGAGCTTCCTTGGGGGGAGAAAGTGCTAGAGGGTTGAGCTCAGTGTCCTTTTATAGTCAACATGAATTCCTCCTATTCATATTTGTAGATAGGAATGGTATTTTCCACCATTCTCAGAAACAAACTTCACTTCACATTACAGGATCCAGACAAGAAGGTTCGCTGGCCTGGAATGAGCTGTCCATTATGGAGCGACTGGGCCCCAACAGGTGAGACCATCTGTTACTTATGGGTTCTAGTTAAGTACGCTTGGTCATTTCATTTGAGTTGCATACGCTTAAAAAAAGATGGTATTTCAGGGGTTCTTTAGCAAAGACAGTGGTTCCATGTATAACCATGAACACTCAAAGAACCGTTTTCATGCTTAAAGGGTTGTTTGCATGATAAAATTGTTCTTCAGATTGATGGACGGTTCTGTGTAGAACCTTCTTTGAAAATGGTTCTATGTAGCATCAAAAAGGGTTCTGCTATTTTCACGATGTCAAGCTTGTAACAATAGAAGAACCCTTTTTGGTGCTATATAGAACGGTTCTTCAGATCGATGGAGAATGTGTTGTATATGGTTCAATATAGCACCAAAAAGGGCTCTTCTATTCTACACGGTCTCCATCAATCTGAAGAACAATTTCACCATGCAAAGAACCATTTAAATGGTTCTTTGAGTGTTCATGGTTCTACATAGAACCATTGTCCTTTACCAGAAACCCCTGAAGAACCATTTCTTTTAAGTCTGTAGCATGGTGGCATGGCTGGTTATTTTCAAAATATCAGATGTTGAACCTACAAAATGAAACCTGCTATTTATTTTTTCCTTCTAGTGTTGACATGACGGAAGAAGACTTGGAGGTGGGACTCTTACTATGCAGTCTTTATACTATCACAGTTAACAGACTTACAATAAGCTCGATCTTCGACAATGAGGTGAACGTCTTGCAAGGACATTGTTGTCTCTCTTTTGGTACACTTAAAGGCCATTATTCCACATTTATCCTATAATTGTGTTGTTTTTTTTAGCCTAAGGTCCAATTTATTTAATTTAATATTTAATTTTTACTGTTGTTGTATGCTTTTATGATCCAAAGACAGTCATAATTCATCTTTACATTATCATTTTCCAATCTTTTGTTAACCCTTAGAATTAAAGAGTCACTGTGCCTTTAAGACTGGAATATGTAAATGATCTCAGGTCTGATTGGCTACCTTGTGTTGTGGCTCATTCAAAAAGCAGTCCGGACTGAGGCACTCCTTGTAATGTCAGTGTGAATGGACGGGCCTAAACTGCTGTAGACAGAATAGATAGATATATGTAAATGTGTTAGTTTTCATGACATCACAGAGACAGTGAATTCAGAATAGCCTATTTTTGCAGTTTAGAAAAAAACTGTAAACATTTTGAAACTGTAACAGTATTTACATACAACATCAAACCTTTTTATTATTTATTTATAAAAATAAAAGCAAAGCCTGTTTTCAATGATATTGGCCCTTGGTAGATTAATTTCATTGATTTTTTTTTAAAGTATTTGAGTGGTTTGATGTGACATGGGGTATTGTAGAGGAACGTATCAACTAGGATATCTTTACAGTGGTAGTGATAGGAACCAAAGGTCTATAATGCCATTTTAAATACTATCCAAAACCAGCAGTGAACCTGCACAGCTTTTATATGGATGTTTTCATATATATTACTGATCGTCTTTGGCTAAAACGTTTTGCAGAATTATCATAATACGATGTCTTGGGCATCAGTCAGCATAAATAACTATTTTATGTAATAGCTTACTGTGAGGTAGCTTGCAATGGCATTTAATATTTCAGACGTCTGGTTCCGACCGCCACCCCTGTGAATAATTCTGACTTTGTAAGTTTCTGTAAAATGACGCATTTCAAATCAAACCACTCTAAGTAACTTGTTTACATCAAAACCTTTTAACTATGATGTAGTCATTTTAAAAAGTTAGTGGAATTCCCCTTTTAGTGACTTTCAGATTATGTAGTAATTATTATCAAAACAATAAGTAAGTAGTAAGTGTTTGACAAAGATATCATTTTGACAAAGATATTATATCACTTTTGTGACACTCTCACAGAATGCCTTTTCCCAGCTGGCCTTGGCCTTCCGCTGTGATCAGTACACGCTGGACCAGAGACTGCAGGCAGAGGAACATGCTCGCAACAATGCTGAGGAGAACCTGATGCTGGAAGTAGAGCGAGGGACAAGACCTGCTGGAGGTAATACAATTTCACTTATGCAGTAGATGTAAAGGAATTCCCTCTCACTCATTCACTCATCCTCTAACCTGGTTATCCTCCTGGGACGTGGGGTTGCTGGAGCCTATCCCAGTGCTCATTGGGCGGAAGGCAGAAAACACCCTGGACGGGTCACCAGTCCATCAGAGGGCTGTAAAGGAATTGTTCAGAAAAAAGAATCTCAAATGTGCCCCAGATGTAGTCAGTCTGCCAAGACATGAAGTTTCTTTCTTTTCTTTTACATTGACGCTACAAGGCCAATGTAGCTGACATGTAAAGGAAGTTTACACCCACCACAGAGCATCATGCAAACTGCATGCCATCATCACATACTAGAAGACTTGATTTTCATACTTTCATGCATTTTCACTGATAACTTTGACATACTGTTAACATACCTTTAAGTTTAAAATGGGCACAATTCAGGCCTAAGAATGACTGCTGCTACTATTCCTAGTTATGCAAACTGAAGAAGCAGATTTCAGACACCAAACATTAATTGGCTGATCTACTACATTTGGAGTAATTATAAAATTGTAATAATGTGATGTTTCACTGAACAGTTGCTTTAAACAAGGGTGACCATACCTGCTCTTTTTCCAGGACATGTTCTCTTTTTGGGACCTAAAAAATGCATCCCGCTGGGATTTCTAAATCACCAAAAAATCATTGTGAACATTTTTGCGTTGCTTTGACTTTTCTCTTTAGGTCCTGCCTTCTTGCACGCCACTATTGGTCAGTCATGTATATGCCCTTCACGCAAACATTGGTCAAACTCCATCTCAGTCATTACCCTCAGCACCACAGCAACAGCCAAGACACAGAGCAGCAGCTTGCTTGTTGGTAGTAATACATGGCGCCTGAACAGCTTAAAAAATGTGCAAACACAAACGTAAATGCACAGATGAATAAAAAATCCCTGTGTTTTTGTCTCGCTCAGGATCTGTGGGAAGAAGAATGCATGACCTGCAAAGCTGGCACATATGAGTCAGTGTAAAATAAAGGTGCTGGCAATCTAAAAGCATCTAAGAGCACATCAGAGGGACTGAAAAATGTGTAGTGCAGGGGTACGCAGCTCCAGTCCTGGAGGGCTGGCATCCAGCATTATTTGGTCATTTACCTGCGTAAACACACTGGATTCAACTCATCTGTTATTTGCAAGGTTTAGTGGGTGTGTTTGAGTAGGGAAACTATCAAACTGTGCTGGATATCGGCCCTCCAGGACCAGAGTTGTGCACCCCTGGACTAGTGAAATAGGGTTTTTTTTTATGGCAGGAGAACAGTGTTACGTAAAAGGTGTTAAAAGCTAAACTTTTTTTTTCTTATTTGTTTGTTTTTTATTTTATTTTGAGGGCCAAAAGTTGAATGGAAAGGATTACGATTATCTGGCCACAATGTCTGTGAAGGCATTTGTTATGCATGTTTGTGGACACATTTGTGAACTATTTAACCCCGCCCCCCACATACACCTTGCTACGGTGCCACTAATTACTTGAAATCCCCCCCTTGCCCCCTTGCCCCATGTCACCATCCTGCCTCCAGTGTCCTCTTTTTTGAAAACCAAAATGTGGTCACCCTATTTAAACTGTCTTTGATGCATAATATGAATGATTTCCAAGTCTGATAAAAGTCTGCTCAAACCGATTTGGTGTGTGTTTCTGTGTTCGCAGGCTCTGAAGGGAATGTGTTTGGATGTAAAGCGGGCAAAAGTGATACAGAGTTTAGAACTGTGTCTGAACATTATTAGAGGCACCATTGAGCGAATTGCGAACACAGCTGAAGTGCTTGGGGCCGTCCACCAGGTAAGCGTAGTGTCTGCTGACACCATGTGAATGACTTTTCTTTGTGATGATGTGCAGAAATGGGACAGATATACTGTAGATACAGTATTATGGAGTGTTGGTTTTCAGAAGTTAAAATATACTTTGTTCAGTTCTAACCCGTTTTCATGGCATTAGATTGTGTACTTGCAATTGCATTTCCCATGTGAGCGCGCATCATTTCAGACAAAATGCAAATACTATTGCAAAACATGTATTGCAGTACATGGCCTGAAATTTATTACGGAAAGCAAAATCTTTTTAGCTTTCCATTTTCATCCCCCTTTGGTAATTGCATTTCTTTATCATCGTGCTCCAGTTAAAATTACAATGTATTTGTATCCCTGTTTGCAATTAGATTTTCACTGTCAGCAACTATCACTGGCACTCCTGTCAGTCAGATGCTGTGGGTGGGACATTGGGAGGGACTTTTTGGTGTGGGCATGTTTTTCAGTAGTATGGAGCAGAAATGCAAAGGGAACTGCAATGGCAAATACACAATTTAATTAGTTTTTTCAAATTTGCATATGTTTTCCCGGTAGCCATAAAATGCAGTTTCTGCCTGTTCTGGAGGTCCCACAACTGAACTCTGCTTGCCTTTTCTTCAGTATTTTTGATTGAACATATTTTAATGGGAATGTGTATGCTTTACGAAACTGGTTTTCATCTTCACAGGTTAGCAAACAAGTCATTTATAGAAGCATAATTATTGTGTTGTTGAGTCATAGCACAAGGCCCAAATGCCTGGTTTTGGGTCACCAGTTTTAATGAAATGATACTTGTAATATTGATGCCAGGAATTCCGCTTGTTTGGTGACCCAGTGAGACTGAATTATATTATTGAGTCTAATTCAGAGGTACCTCCACTGTGTTTTTGTTTTTCTCTAATTGACCAAATCTTGATTCCTTAGCGTTCTTTAGCATATTTGACCTCAGAAGTGCATGGAAATGCGTCTTCTGTGAGCAGGAGGCCAAAGTAAGCCGTGCAGTGGAGCTGATGGTTGCTCATGTGGAGAATCTGAGGCGTCGCCATGAAAGAGACAGTGTGGAGTTGGAGGAGATTAAGAAACAGATGCAGAAGAGCAGTAGAGCCCGACAAGCCTCTGAAATTTGGGGCAAGTTTACTCACATTGCTTTATTTCTGTCTCCCTCATTTCCTACATTCATAAGCTACTTCCTGTTTTACAGCCCCTGTGTCATAGTCATTGTCCTCCATCACTGAAAGCGCTGCATAGCTGTACTTAACGTACACTCTGTCTGCTGTGTCTGTACTGTGCTGTCCGTTACCACCAACAGTAATGTGCAGTCATGAAGAACCTGTAAAAACGTATTACCGCAAACTCTTCCCTCTGAAAAACACAGATTTACAGCCTAATTTACAGTCCTTTTCAAAAGTTTGAGCACCCCTGGTCAAAGGACGTTTTGTTGATTTTCTAAGTAAAAGTAAGTTAACACGTCTTCTACAGAGAACACACTCTGGCACATTTTAATACACAATTGCTGTTTATTTCCTGAATTTTACATATTAGAGGAAAAAAAAGCCTGCACAGAAGTTATGGCACATTTTTTCCTTAACATGTTAAACTCCAGAAAATAAATAGAAACTGTGCTCTAAAAGTTGAAAAAATACCATATTTTAGTTGGTTTGCTGTAGAGCATGTGTTAGCTTATTTTCACTTTAAAAAAGCAACAAAACCTGTAATTTGACAGAGGGTGTTCATACTTCAGGTTTGAGTAAAGATTGATAAATATTGGAGTATTCCTTCAAAGAGCTCATATGCTACAATATTCTTATACTTAATTTTTTAAACAGTCTGTTTTTGTCACTGTGCCTTTAAGGCTGGTATATGCAAATACCCTTTGTTCTGATTGGCTGCCCTGTATTGTTCCTGTTTCAAAAAACATTCCTGGCTGAAACACTCCTTATAACTTCAGGTGAAGAGGCAGAGCTAAACTGTTGTAGACTGGGTGATTGTATGAATGGGTGATTATATGTCAAATAGGTTGGTTTTTGTGACATCACAGGGCTATTTTTGCAGCTTAGCTTCAGAGTCGCAGAGACTGGAGAGTGAACATTACATTTTAAAACTGTAATGGTATTTATATCTACATCAAGCAAGTAAGCAAAGTTTATTTATATAGCGCTTTTTCAACAGGCGTTGTCACAAAGCAGCTTTACAGAAAAAGAAAGGAAAATCAGCATTACAGAAAAAGAAAAATATCCGGGTCCAAGCCCCTCTGAGCAAGCCAGTGGCGCCAGTGGCAAGGAAAAACTCCCTAAGACCAGGAGGAAGAAACCTTGAGAGGAACCAAGACTCAGAAGGGGAACCTATCCTCCTCTGGTCGACACCGGATAGCAAACATTGTTAGTATAAAGTATTATAGTACAAAGCGGGGAAAACAGGTGGAGCAATGGTTAGTTTTAGATTATGCAGCAGCAGCAGCATCATCACTTCATGAGAGTGAGGATTACACAGCGTTGTACAGCATGAAGTTCGATCGTGGTCAAGCCGGTCCAGAAGGCTGGCAAGCAGTGGGCACCCGATCAAGGCAGAAGAGGCAACAGCATCAGACGCACAGGATGGGCAGCTGTTCAACTTGGCAAAGAAAGGAAAACACACAGAGAGTTAGTTCTGTAAAGAGTGACTAATCACCGATCATCATCCTCTTTGATTTCAGAAAAGGGAGACAGATTTGGTTTTCATGATACGGTCATTTTCCTCATTCCTTCCTCACCATAAAGCTGCCACATTACTCCCTGTTTTTCTTCTCCTTGCGTTTACAGTTGGACTGCTCATCCCATAAATACACTGTTACCCATAGCCTACTGTGCTTTGTCTACTGAGACCACTACACCACTTTACAAGCCCTTTCCCACAGCCTTGTTATCATGACTTCCTCTTAGCCAAGTCTGCCTTAATATGCTTCCCTCCTTGCTTTGCTTAAATGTTCAGTCATTGCTTTTACACTGATTTCTATACCACCATATAATCTGTCTTGCAGAAGAAGTAGAGTCTGGGCAGAAGCCTGAGAAAGACTCCCATCAGGTAAAAGTCATTTGCCATTTACTATTTGATTTATCTTTTTGGTCAAATGGGTGTTTTACCTCTTACAGTTTTCTTCTTTGTTAAAAATAAGAGAAGTTTTTCCTCGGTTGCAGCATGCTTTGCGGCGCAGAATCAGTGCAGCTATCATCTTAAAGGGGGACCAGGTCAGATCATTACGGGTCACCTTATGAGTTTTTCCTTACATCAAAGTTATACACCAAAAGCAGTTGAATTTATTATTTTTTGTTTGCCATTTATTTTAAAGAAGACGCAAAGAGGAGCAGAATCAAACCCCTCATCTTCTGAAGAGGTTGCTGGCACAAAGACATCACAGATCCAGATTACTGACTTGACAGGATCCAGTGAAGCCAACCCAAATCAAAAGAATGATCAGCTTGAAGATGGAAGGTAATGTAATTTATCATAAAGGTACTGGATTTCTTCTAATCAGACTGAACCCTATGGTCCATACTGTACAGTGATGGGTGGCAGCATATTTGTGCACATTTATCATACAGATTTAACTTTTTCACATTGGAGTATCCCAAAAAAAAAAAAGCCTAAATGTTAATACGGAAGAAAACCCATGGGTCATTCCAGTCAGTGCACTTAGTGCCTGTCCGTTCACATGATTATTTCCTTTGTGTGTGTGTGTGTGTGCGTGGGTGTGTGTGTGCGTGGGTGTGTGTGTGCGTGGGTGTGTGTGTGCGTGGTGTGTGTGTGTGTGTGTGTGTGTGTGTGAACAACTCTCTTTATTTAAAATGCAGATGACAATGGAATGAGGATGTATAGACAGTAAATAATGCAGTGTGGTAAGGGTATAGAAACACAATGCTATACAAGATGATGTTGTTAATAATAATAATAATAATAATAATAAACAGTAATTATTTCTATTGACTTCAAATTTCAAAGCTGTGCTAAACTTAGTTTTTTAGTTATGAATTGTTAAAGCTTGCCCAATTAGGCTCTAAATTTAGGGTCGTGTTAAGTAGATATTACTGTTATTTTTCAGCAAAAAGCTTAATGAAAAATAGGATTAGACCCTTTTAAGGACAATAAAATGGACGTTTAGTTATGAAGCCATTTTAAAATCATGGTGAAGCTTCAAATACTAGATATGATCATTCATATATTTACTAGAAATGTAGGAATACTGCATAAAAATAAAGATTTAGTTTCATGATGAGTTATTCCACACCTGAACTAAATAAGTGCATCCTCCAATAAATGAACCTCTACTGGACATTTACTACGCAACATCATTCGACAGCTCAACATGCTTGGAGGAGAATACTAGCTGCCAATTCTGTTATGGCAATTAACAGACACTTGTGTTGGGAGCATTACGCTGAATGATGCGGGGAGAGGGAGGGCCATCCTACTCATCCAGAGAGAGCGAGGACAGTTATGCTCTCTCAGACTCCTGGCTGTGGATGTCTGTGGCATCGCTGGGGACTGAAAGCTGCTGAGGTCATAGAAACCAACTGATAATGTTCGTAATGAACAGCAAACTTTTTTGTGCTGTTGTTTCCAGTAGACGATTGGAATGTGCAGAAGGTGGATCTTCAGCCGTGTGTAACGTCTGCACTCATCTCTCCTCTCCTCAGTATTCCTCACCTGAACACCAGCAGGAGTACGACAAGTATGACATTTGCATTTATTAGCCAGATATTAATCTATACACCTTTTCCACAATCGTCCTGTTTTTTGGAGATAATAAATATTATAAGGACGGAGAGCTACACATGCCTTCTTTTGAAATTTAAATTTTGTTACTTGGATAGGTTGCTCATACTTTGGGTTGCACTATCTTTGTGTAAAGCAAGCTGTTTCCAAATTTTTGACAGACTGTACAGTGTCTCTGATTGTCCTCCATTGTGCACAGTGCTTTACTGAAATTGCAAAAGTGTCCAAATTCTCCGTAGGCCACCCTCCACATTACCTCGGCACAGGCTGAAGAG